ATTGATTGATTGATATCTGGATTAAGCCTAGGGACACTTTAACCACTGAGCCACATCCCAGTGGTTTTTACTTTTTATTCTGAGACAGGGTTCTCACTATCTTGCTTGGAGTGTAAGTTGTTGAGGCTGGCTTTGAACTTGCGATCCTGCCTCAGCCTCCAGAGCTGCTGGGATTACAGTCATGTACCACCACGCCCCAATTATTATTATTATTATTATTATTATTATTATTATTATTCCAGGGATTGAACCCAGGGGAGCTTAACCACTGAGCCACATTCCCAGCACCCCCCCCCCCTTTTAAAGATGTATACAATATCTTTATTTTTATGTAGTGCTGAGGATCAAACCAGTGCTTCACAGGTGTGAGGCAAGCACTCTACTGCTGAGCTACAGCCCAAGCCCCTCCCAGCCCTTTTTAAAGTATCTTATTAGAGACAGAGTCTTGCTGAGTTGCTGAGGCTGGGTTTGAACTTGCAATCCTCCTGCCTCAGCCTCCCGAGTTTCTGGGATTACAGGCATGTACCACAATGCCTGGCTCCCATTCTTTCTTAAAACCAGTTAAGGCTACTCTGATCATATTTTCACTCTACCACTGTGAGACAATTACACTTGTCAAGATTATCAGTGACCATAATAATTCTAAACTCTCAGTCAATTCTCAGTTCTTAATTATCCAATTAGTACATTTGATCCTTTTCCTTGAAACACTTTCAACCTTGCTTTCCAGGCCCCACACTTTTCTTGGTTCTCCTACTTGACTGAATGAGTGCTTTTAAAATTGGAGTCCTTAAACCAATGACGGGTACATCATATAGGGATATAATATTGATACTTTTCATTCCATTTTTGTTCTAAATTATGATGTGATTTTGTTTTTAGTTTTCGGTCATCATCCTTCTGTACTACCTTTATTTTTACAAATAAACTTGATACTGTATCACTTGACATACTTTCCAGTAACAGATGTAGTTCTAAAACAGCCTGTTGGAAAGCAGCTGTCAGAGGTACTGGCAGCTAGTATCTTACAAGCCTTCAGTAACCATATACAAAGATAAGACTTTTAATTAATGTTTTCCTCTACCCAAACTTCTTTGTAGAATTTCTCCTGGACAGGCCTTATTTTCTGATTGAATAGTGTTTTTCTTAAAAATGTCTTCATAACTGACAAAGACAGAGACAACTTTCCAAGGGCTTAACAGATAACTAATGTCCTACTTAAACCTTGTTGCAAATAGACACAATGTCACTGGAAATTTGGTGCAAAATTTCTGACTACACTCCCGACCGCCAAAAAAACCTAAAGAAATGGTGAAAAGCAGCGAGTAAGAAATAGCACTGAAAGTAAATGTTTGTTCAAAAATATAGGCAAACATTTGTGGTTTAATACTTTGATAATATTGCAGGCATTTTATTTATCATATTGATCAAATGAGTACCCATTTTATGTTGTCTACAGATAGAAGAGAACATAGGCACACACTGATACTGCTCTTCTTTATCCTCTGTCCTATTCAACCAAACTCCTTAATAATAGGAAAATACCAAGGGCAAGGAATCTATTTTCCAGGTCAAAAGCTGTTGCTAAGGTTAGAGGTAGTAGGTAGAGAGGAATTCCAATTGCTCTATAGAGTTGACATCAAGTTGTTTTTGTTTTCCTTAAGCTAGATGTTAATAGTGGTGGTGATTTCATAATTATACCTGTCTTCTACAACATTTGGAAAAATCTACCTAATTTTTTCCCGTTTTAACCTATCAGTATCTGACACTGGAATCAGTAATGCTAGAATGTTGTGAATAGTCAAAGTAAAAATATTAGGTCACCACAGTTATTACTCAAGTGGTGAATGAATGTTGTAGGCAGGCAATGTCACAAAGTTGACAAATACCAAGCACCAACCCTATAACAGGTCCTGTTTGGTTGCTGGGGATACCATGCTGAACAAGTCAGACATGGATTTTAATTGTTAATGAGGGGACACAGGTGTAATAGTTTTAGATGGTAAATATAGGGAGAAAAGAAAAAGGATGAGATAAAGAATTACCAGAGTGTGTGAAGCAAATTTGACAGAAACTAGAAACCCATAGCTCAAGAGCCAAGCTTAGGGCTGGGGTTGTGGCTCAGTGGTAGAGCGCTTGCTTGGCATGTGTGAGGCAGTGGGTTCAATTCCCAGCACTGCACATAAATAAATAAAAGTCGATCAACATATAATTTTTTTTTTTTTAAAGAGCCAAGCTTAAAAGCAGTCAGATACATTGCACAGAGAATAATAATGCCAGCAGACTTCTCGCTTAAAAAAAAAAAATGTAGGCCAGGGTACTGCCGGATGGAAGGGTGGGAAGGGTTCTCACAGCTTGCAGCGTCCACCAGAAGGCAGGGCAGCAGAGGGGATGGGCGTGGCGGCCGCCAGAACACAACGCCCTCTATAACGCCTGGCTCCCCTCCACCAGCTGCCATGAGCTAGCGCCTCTACCCCAGGAAAAGAAGGAATGGTGATGAAGCAGATAACCATCTCCCCTCTGCCCCCACAGACCAAAAGGAGTAGTAGAAACCCTATCTTTCAAGATTCCTAGGACACGAGTCCGAGCAGTGACAGTAGCGGGAGCAGCAGCAGCAGTAGCACCAACATTCCTCACAGGGCCAAGGGGCCAGAGAGCGGCTTAAACCAGGTCATGCCCGGATCCAGCCCTAAAACCCCTCAGCCCATGGCCAGCAGTCTGCGCTGTGGCAAGGTCCTTATTTCCACATCAGCCAGACCCTGATGATGAAGCCCACTTTCACAGCCTACAGCACCCAGGATGGCCTCCGACCTGATGCGTGGACAGTTTCTTGGCTTCTATGAAGGGACAGCCTTGTGCAGATTTGATATTTCAACTTATGATTTGTTTTAAATAAATTGCACACAAAAAATGCCTATTGGCTTTTTACTCTATATTTGAAATAACATACACTTGTGGTTTTACTGCACTATTGCAATTTCAAAGGAGCTTTGAAGCACTTTATAGGATTTTTTTTGAAGGAGGGTATCAAATCAATATCAAGGAAGTGGTGTGAGGAAATCTCATCTGTGTTGCATCCATAGTGTGTCCAATTGATACTGATCACTCAATTATAAGTTCTACTTTATGTAAAGGGCTTTTAAAAAATGCAGGATCTTCAATTTTTTATTTCAATTAACTAGTAAAGAGTATCTAGTTTCCATGAAAAAAATATATGCAGGCCAAAAAATAATGAATGGACATTATCCATTGCTAAGAGAAAAAATACTGTCCAACTAAATTTCTATAGACTCAAAAGACCTAAATGAACACATACAATGTTCACGAACTGGAAAACTCAATACTGTTTACAATTCCATTTCCTTCAAACTGATCTAAATATTCAATGCAATTCCAATAAAAATCCCAGCAGGTTTCTGGTTTGTAAAAATTAGCAAGCTGGTCCTAAAATTGGAAATTCAAAATTGCAAAGGACATAGAATAGCCAAATATTTTTGAGAACAAATACTTAGACGACTTAATTTCCAGATTTTTACTACAAAGCTATAGTAGTCAAGATAATGATTTTAGATATATAATTCAATGGAACATAAAGACTCCAGATAGTCACATATATAATCAATTTCCACAAAAATGATAATAGGGAAAGGACAGGTTTTTTTTTTTCAACAAATGGTGCTATCTGAACTTTTATGTAAGAGGGAAATAAAATTATCCTTATATTAATACCATATAAAACACCCCCCCACAAAAAAAAAGATTACTTGAAATGAAAAATAAACCTAAACATGAAATGAGTCTGAGGTGGAAACCAGACATGTAAAGACAGGGAATGTTAGAGTAACAATCAGAGTTGCATAAGAACCACAACAGGAAATGCTTGCTCTTCCAGTCAAGCTGACTGTGCAATCTTATTTGTGAAATATACAGTGAAATCCAGACTCCCTATCTTCTTGACAGATGAAGTGTTTATATAGTAAAGTAAGCTGGACAAGAAATAAGTCAATTTTTGAGTAAATATGAGAAAGTTCACAAAGTGTTATGTATTGATTGTGCTATTTCCCGATTTTATTGTTTTGACAACTTTAAAAGCTTGCTGATCAGAGAGAGACCAGGCCCAAAGGGTCAAGCTCTCCTCTAGGCCAGGAGCACATCTTTGATATGCAAACCAAGCACTCTGATGGTCTATAGCTTCAACCACCTTTATTTTAGTTTTTTGGTGGTGCTGGGGATTGAACCCAGGGCCTTGTGCATGTGAGGCAAGTACACTACCAACTTAGATATATCCCCAGCCCAGCCTCAACCATCTTATGGAACTCCCACACACAAGCCAGTATTTTCCCTGTTTAATACGATCCCTGATCAAGGTACCAGAAAATGAGTACATTCCTATAGTCTGAACTCTAAATTCTACACAGAAGGGAAATATAGTTCACACATTGCCTCATCTTTAATATGCATTCTGAGAAAGATAGCTGCAATATGCAATAACTCCAAGGGAATTATGGAATTAGCCAGTTCTAAACTGTTATTCACCAAGTCCAGATGAACCAATTATTTCTTTCTTGGGTTCTCTTCCTTGCTATGTTTCTCCCCAGAAAGGTAATTAAGCTAGGTTTTCCCTTGGCTCCTGTCTTCTGCCTCCTGACTGGCATGTGCCAACACCTTCACTGGGACCTATGAGCATAAAAAGCTTCTTCCTTCTAAATCTCATACTCATTTCCTCCTTTGGCCACACTGAATTATTTATATATCATATCCGACATTTACATTCTTAAAATAGTATGTAAAATAAATGTTAACTAAGAAATAAAGCATATGCTCATTGTGAAACCAGTGGTCTCAAGCTGAATAAATCTTTCTGGCTAGTCAGTGTGTCATTTTTTATGTCCTGATTTTTGTTTCTTTTTCTACATTAAACATTGTCAAATAAGCCGGTTCTGCAATAAACTCTAAAGCATACATGAGTGTGTCAATGTAAATAAAAATGCAATTCAGGGTTGTATGTAGGATTTACATTTATTAACAGTGAAAAAGCATTTACCCAAAGTGAATGTTACAAAATACAAAGAGTATCTCCACAGACTGGCTAGCTCATCATTTTAGGCATTATTTCAACCTGCACAGGGTTCTCTCACACTCATTTGACATTTCCCCCCTCTATCTCCAACCAAAGTTTTAATTTAAATTTTCAGACAAAGAGGAATAATAAATGCCTAAACCTTTACCAATAGTATGCTAGGGAAAACAATAAACAACTTATCTGCTCTCAAGCCTGGGTATTTAAAAACTAAAACACCTACTAAAATAGAAAAAAAAAAAACACCCGATTGATTAGGAGCTATAACAAAAGATAGTTTGATAAGGTTCACAGGTACCACGGTGATAGCAGAAAGTTCTTCTGCTCTCTCTGTCCTTAATATGCATGCAGACATAGAAAGACAGCTGCAATATGTAAGGCTTGGCTTGAGAACCAAAATGAAGTTTTTCTCCTTTCCTGATTAGAGTCAAGAAAATACAGAATCTGAATATACATATAAAGTAATTTATTGTTCCAATTGCCCTTAAGTCAGTACAACTGGATAAGAATCCTGACTCTGAACTGATAGTTTTCCATATAGGTCTTATAAAATTGGAGATATGTCTTACACAATTCAAATTAAACATAAACAGAGTAAATTTCCTTATAGGGAAATTCTCAATTAGTGTTCCTTTGTTAGATGTTACAGATTAATTTGATACTAAGATATCAAGCAAGTAAGAATTTTAAAGGAATACCAAGCTAATTCTTTTATTATGAAGTATTTTAGACCACTGGTAATGATTTAAAGACTACTTGGAACAAAGAATTAATTCCTCATATTCTTCATATTTTACTCAAGGAAGAATCTATAAGATTAACTGGATCTTTTGACATCTCTGTGTCTATGGCAAGTATGGGATAAAACAATAAATCACCATTTAAAACTTGGCTTACTTAGTGATAAAGAAGTCACATAGATTTTCTTAATACTTCACCTGTGAACCTGTTTCTTACTACACACAGAATCAACCACTAGATTTTTGTCTTAAATTATTATCTCAAAAGACAAGAATCTTAATGTTGTATTACATAAATTTAGTTTTATGTATCCCTACTTGAAAATATTTGGTTTTTCATTTAAAATTAACCAGAAGATTACTGACTGTGCAGAAATACTAACTTTAAAATCCAGATTGAGGCAATATAGATAGGAGTTGCAATTCTGGAAAATATTCATCTAATAGATAAGTATTTAAGTTCTAGGTAGTAAGCACATATATTCTAAACTTATGCAATTTGAATAGATTACTAACATATATTCTATGATAATTTCACAGATATCCTGGATACATTTATAATCTGTCCTATTCTTCCTTCCTTTTCTTCGTGTGTGTGTGTGTGTGTGTGTGTGTGTGTGTGTGTGTTGCTGGGGATCAAACCTAGGATCTGTGAATGATAGGGAACCATATTATGACTGACCTGCTGCCCTAGTCCTGCTTTGTTTATATAGAGGAATAGGACCTGCAGGTATTTAAAGAATATTAACTATATCCAATAGCAGAAACACTGGCGTATGTGGAAGACTGGCCCAATGGCTGGGCTTTATAAATAATATATTTCTCTAATTCTGAGCCATTGCTCTCTCTCAATTGCCTCCTATTACCTAGAACAGCAATTTGCTGTAGAGAATTCAACATAATTTCCAAAAAATATTTTACAGATAAGTTCAAACTTTATTTAAAACTACATTTTAAATTTAACGTTACCAAACATCACAATGAGAAGAAAATCAAGACCATAAAAGAGAAAAAACAAAAAACAAAGAACAGCCACAGTATATACCAAGGCTTAAATCTGTCCAAAATTCAGTTTCTGATGTTTTAAACTGCCATGGGCAGAAATTAGCACACCTACCAAAAATGCAGTGTCAAACTAATTTACATTTTATACAGATCATAACAATGTTTATTTAGGGTCATTTTCATATATGCGATGACTTTATAAACAGAGTTAGATGAGTCTCTGAAGACATCTCATACACTCTGGGCTCCCACTATTTCTGAAAAACAGAACAATAATTAATGCCTTATAAATTATTTAGTGAATTAACACATTAGTTACTAAAGTTTATTTTTAATAGTTTTCTTCCATTACAGCTTTTAGAATAAAATATTACAAAGGGAATCCTAATTTAGCTCCAGTTCCCTGATAACACACACAGTAAAAAAGAACAGGCGAGGATTTCTATTTTATGATGGCATACTGAGCAGATAAACTAACAGAAGAAAAGAAAATAACTATATAAAAAGAATTAAATTTAGGCCAACAACAACAACAACAAAGCTGACAGTAAGAAATCAGAAGCTGGGTACAGTGGTGCTTGCCTGTAATCCCAGTGGTTTGGGAGGCTGAGGCAGGAGGATCAAGAATTCTAAGCCAGCCTCAGCAAAAGTGAGATGCTAAGTTAAGTAACTCAGTAAGACCCTGTCTCTAAATAAAATACAAAACAGGATGTGGCTCAATGGTCAAGTGCTCCCGATTTCAATTCCCGGCACGCATCGCCCCCCCCACCCCCCCCACCCCCCCCCACCCCCCGCCAAAAAGAAATCAGAGACTAGGACACACCAACAAATTATCAGAATGTCCAAAGCGGATGGGGTACTGTCCAATTGTTCCCATACTGTGCAGCTGGGATAGTTGCCATGTACTAAAACAGGCAGAGAAAACTCAGCCAAAAACTGGGACGTTAACTGAAGATTTCATATCTGAATGGTCTCCCTTCTCTTCCCCATTTGCAGATTTTTTTTTTTTTTTTAAATCGTGTGATTTGAACCAATTGATGAATTGATGGAGAATAACAAAAGTGTAAATCTGGGACCATCACTTGCCTCTGCAATGAGTTATATAAAATCAACTTCAGTTAAAGTATATAAAATTTATTAGAGTTACAAAAACAAAATGTGTATTTATTTTAATAACCTTAACAATGTAAGAATACTTAATCAAAAAAGTAAAGAGAAAAGAATGAAAATCACCCAAGTTGATAAAACAAGGAAAGTTGTTGGCTTATTTATTTTGGTACCAAACCCATAAGCACTTTAAACTAAGATACATTCCCAGTCCTTTCTTTTTCTTTCTTTTTTTTTTTTTAATTTTGAGATAGGGTCTTATGAGATTGCTTAGGCTAGCCTTGAACCTGCAATTTTTCTGCCTCAGCTGCTAAAGTTTCTGGGATTACAAGTGTTGTGTCTCCATGTCTGGCAAATATATTTAATATATATACATACATATGTATATATACATACATATATATATTTAAAATAACAAAGATGAAAAACAGAAGAAAAAAAACTACAAACACTGAGGGGGAGGGAAAATGTCTAAATACACATTTATTATAGGGAAGAAAACCAATAATGAAAAGAAGTGGGTGTTTGCTATTTATCATTAACTTTTTACACCTTTCTTTGAACCATGTACTTGCATAAATTTGCTAAAACTGAAAATTTGAAAGATGAAAAAATGATCTGATAATTAAAGGAGAATACTGTTTTATAAATTAAGTAGCTAAACTAAAGTTTTTACAGAATACCTCCCCTTTAACATTAGACTTAAATCTCCCAGAAGCTAGTACCACACTAAAAAAATAAAAAATTCAAATGGTAGTATCATGATCAAAAAATTTTCAATATAAAATTAAAACTGATGAGTAGATATATAGCTCAGTTGGTTTCCTCACATGCACAAAGCCCTGGGGTTTGATCTCTAGCACCAAACAAACAAACAAATAAATAAAATTGATGAAACTTACCAGGTTCTTTTAGTGTCTGAGAATTTCCAACTAATTCTTCAGTCTGCATTTCACATATTTCACCAGATAAATGATTCTTCTGTTCTTCTTCTACCATTTTCTTCCTTAGATCTGCCTTTAGAATGAAGATTAAAAATAAAATTTTTCATCTCAACAATATCTGTATTATATAAAGACAAATTTGATTAAAGACAAGAAAATACCTCTGAATATATTGTCAGTTTAAGTGGTAAATCCTCAACTTTCACAAAATCTTCTTCATCAGACTTTTGACTTATGTTACCAGATTCTGCTTCCTGTAAGATAAATTATATTTATCTTGAAAACGAAAGCATTTTATCTCTTACTCTACATCTGTCATCCATCCTAAGAAATAAATGCATTCTTATATGTAAATACATATCAGGAATTCTATGATTTTCTCCTGTATCCATACTTATATGAATATATCAGAAACCTAGAGTTCATTAGAAGGTTTGCACATCTGTAGCTGTGAACATACTGTTGAGATATGTTTGTTCAAAAGCTGATTTACATAGACTGAAGAAAGATGTATTAGTAATTATAGATCGGGCTAAACTAATTAGAAAAATGACTTGTTTCTTAATATGTCTACCGAATGCATCAGTACTATATCAAGCAGAATATTAGTAAATACTTACAAAGTTTTCAATACACTGACTCCATCAAGGTTTGATGAAAATATGAATTTAATAATTTACCTTTGTGATCATCTCAAACTGTTTTTGCCTTTCCCTTCTAATTTTAAATAGCATAATTTTCTATGAACTAGTAACTAAATAGAAACCATATGCTTTTCCTTTTCCTGCAAGTCTACCCACCGACTCTTTTTCAGATTCATTTTATACTTATATGATAGCAGAGCAATCTAATATACCTTCCTTCTTTTTTTTCTTTTGGTACCAGAGATTGAAACCAGAGGTACAAATTACTACATCTCTAACCCTTGCTATTTGGCCTTGAACTTGTGATCCTCCCACCTCAGCCTCCTAAATCACTGGGATTACAGGCATGCTTCACCACTCCTGACCCTTTACAATTTATTTTATAGTCATTAGGTTATTCTTTATAGACCATGAATTTAACCATTTACTTTCTTGCACAAAAATTTTCATAAGTCTCTAAAATCTCACTTCAAATTAATTTCAACTAGGTAATTCATCTAATTTTCAGTTTTTTGTATAGGGGATTGAACCCAGGGGCGCTTAACCACTGAGTCACATCCCCAATCCTTTTTTAAATTTTATTTAGAGACAGGGTCTCACTGAGTTGCTAAATGCTAAATTGTTGAGGCTGGCTTTGAACTTGTGATCCTCCTGCCTCAGCCTCCTGAGCTGCTGGGATTACCAGCATGCACCACCATGTTTTATATGCATACATTTACTGTTGGTGAGGTAAACAAAACTTTCTTCTAATGTTTTTAAAACATTATAAGCACCCTTTCTCAGGAATTTATCTTTAAAAAGTAAATCAATTTTAATTTTTAAAAAATGAAGTACCTTTCTTATATCTAGAAGTACTTATTGAGGTTCAAATACTGTTATAAATCTTTTCAATTTTGCTAAGGAGAGAGTAAAGTATATAAAACATATACACCCAAGATCCAAAACATAACTTGCTACTGTAAACTTAACTGAAACAACTGTCTAGAGTAAAATTAAACTTACTACTTACTATCATTAAGTACAGATTTCCTAGTATATTTTTATGCCATTCACTGTATAGAAAAAGGACTCTATTTCTGTGAAATTGTTTTATTTCACATACCAAATGTAAACTTTTAGGTTTAGCAAAGACGTATAAAATTTCTTAAGTAGCTGAGAAGTTAAAAATGAGTAGTGTATTGCTGGGCATGGTGGTGCATGCCGGTAATCTCGATTCGGGAGGCTGAGGCAGGAGACCCACAAGTTCCAAGCCAGACGCTGTCTAAAAAATAAAAAATAAAAAAAAAAAAAAAGAGAGAGAGAGAGAAAGAGCTGGAATATAGCTCACTGGTAAAATGCCTCTGGTTTTGATCTCCAGTATCCCACCCCCAAAAAAGGATAGTATGAGAGATTAATGATTAATGATGACTCATGTATCATTATTACTTCAGATCTGAACTGAAAATGAACTCTTCCAAAGTTGCCACCTATAATCATGTCTTTTGTTTTTCAAAACTATAAAAAGAATAGCCTTAAGGTTTTGGGATGGTCATCTTAATTCATTATCACTCTTTGGCTAAAGTTCAAAATAAGTGTGAATATGAAATAAAAATGCTCTCAAGAGACCTAAACCTAAACCTAAACCGGAGCTTGGTTTATACACTTAAAATGTTAACCTGAATATAAAAAAATGCACAAAAATTAAAATAAAAAATAACTGGAAATGTAAATGATACATACATAGTCATTCACTAACACTGGAGATTCAGTATCAGGACTTCCAGCGAGAGAGCTTTCAGGAGTTTCCTGAGCAGATTTAACTTCTTTGACTCTAGGCACTAAGGTTTCAATTTCAGTTAAAGGTAATGGCAAAGGGTTAGGTTGTTTAGATGAATCAATAGTGGTAAGCGAGTCCTTATGGGCAGCACTATTTAAAGGTTGTTCATTTTCCAAGATATTGAGGTAACAAGGTTTCACAGGAGAGCTATCTTGGTCATCTGCATCAAAACAAAGTCTTAATTTTACATCAGTGCAATACCAACAGCTGTTAAATTTACAATAGTAAATAAATACAATAAATAAAATACCAAATAAATACAATAGGCATTATAATCCCCCAAAAAGGGCAATTAAAATCTCTTCTTAGCTGTGGTTTACAAATTCAGTCCATAAGATCTAATCTGGAAACATTAAATAAATTAGATTCCTGGTTACCTGATTTCTAGTGAATTAGAATTTTCCAGAGTTAAGGCTCATTTGTATGGTTTTATAAAAGGTGTCCTGCAAAAAGCTCATGTGTTGGGCAACAGGAATATTCAACAGTGAAACTATTAGATTATTTGAGCTGTAATCCCACCAATAGATTAATCTATTTGATGGGTTAATAATTTAAATAGACTACTGGGTGGTAACTGTAGGCAGGTGGGGCATGGCTGGAGGAAGTAGGTCACTTGGGGTATGGCATTAGACTGTATATCTTTTTTTTTAATATTTTTTTAGTTGTCAATGAATGGGCTTTATTTATTTATATGTGGTGCTGAGAATCAAACCCAGTGCCTCACACATACTAGGCAAGTGCTCTACCACTGAGCCATAACCCCAGTCCTAGACTTAGTATATCTTGTCTCTGAATCCTTGATCTCTCCCTGCTTCCCAGGTGCCATGAGCCAAGCACATTCCTCCACCACACCCTTCTGCCATGCTGTGTGCCTTATTGTGGACCCTGAGCAATACAGTTCGCCAACCATGGACTAAACCTCTGACACCATGAGCCCAAAATAAACTTTTCTCTAAGTTGTTCTTGTCAGATATTTTGACCACAGTAACAAAAAGCTAACATTCCAAAGTATGGGTTTAAAAAAAAAAAGTCTCATTTTATCTACAGATGTTCCTGGCAGAATTTTTTGTTGTGGGTAAATATCTGTCAAATATTTGTAACTGCTTTTGCAGAAACAAAGCTCTCTTATGTTTTTCTACAAAAGATTTATTGGGGGAAAAAAAGATACACATCAAGTCCCAAGTGCCTTTAAACCTACATTAGCTAAAAATTTATATTTGTTTTAGTTTTAAACCAATAAAAGGCACTTTAGATGAACTTTAAGTTGAACAATTATTTAAATTTCTTACCTTTACTAGTGGGTTCTTGTTCTGATGAAACATTTGTGCTTTCAGCTGTTTCTTCAAGGTCATGTTGTTGAACCTAGACAGAAAAAGATATTTTAATAACAGGGCTTTAAAATATGTGGTCACTGTAAAGGAGATAGTTACTACTATGTGTGTGGGTTTTGTCAAACAAGGAAATTAAAAAGAGTTCCTAAAAATGTTTTGAGTAAGCTTTGGATGTAATGACAAGATGGCTAAGTAAAAAAGTTTACTTTCCTTAGACAAACTCAAAAAAAGTTGGGTGCTGTGGTGCACACGTATAATCCCAACAACCCATAAGGCTGAGACGAAGTTCCAGGTCAGCCTTAGCAAAAGACTCTATCTGAAAATAATGTAAGGATGTAGCTCAGTGATAAATATTAGTGCCCTGGGTGGTTCAATCCCTAGCAATACCCCAATAAATAAATAAATAGATAGATAAATAAATAAATCCCTCAAACAACAACTCAGAAGCCAGGCGCAGTGGAACACGCCTGTAATCCAAGCAGCTCAGGAGGCTGAAGCAGGAGGATCACGAGTTCAAAGCCAGTTCCAGCAACTTGGCAAGGCACTTAGCAACTCAGCAAAACTCTGTCTCTAATAAAATATACAAAAAGAGGCTAGGTATGTGACTCAGTGGTTAAGCTCCCTGGGTTCAACCAGCACTATATCATTCCCCACCTAAAAAATAGAAACACCAATTCAGAAAAAATAGATGTCATTACTTTTTTTTCCCCAGACTTATCTTAAATAAAACTAAAAGATACTTATATACATAGACATTAAGTGAATGGGAGAGGAACTGACCAGGAGAAGAGAAAGATGAACAAAGCCAGTTGCTTTCAGCCAGAGAAGGGAACAAAAACTGAGGTTCAATTACAATTGGAAGTTATCAGATTCTAGGGTGGAAGGTATATGATGGTAGAGCTGGTGATGAAAAAGAAGTGGTGCTGGTAATTTTAAAACTGTGGAAGAAAAATATGGACTTCTAGGTTCCCATCCCAACCTCAACAGAAAATAAAAGATTTTATTTTACAGAAATTGAACTAGTGAGCCTGCACACCTTGGGGGAAAAGGTGGGGTAAAGAAGGCACAATGAGGACACAGTAAAATGTCACACTGAAAACCAAAGGATTTAATGCAAGTCTGTTAACAGTGGACACTCGGCCTCATTCCCACATTTAGCTTCAGAATACCAGAAGTCAAGATTATATACCCTTCTTTTTAAGAAACCACACTATTCTGAAGAAAAGACCAAGAGATACTGACATTTCAGAGTTAATATTAGAAGGCTGGCTGTCTACTGAAATGCCCCACAGAGGAACCAAAAGGAAACAAACCAGTTTCCTGCTATACATTCTTTAATATAAATACCTAAGGTTTAGGAGATTATTTGAAGCAAGCCTCCAGGTGGGATAGAAAAAAAATAATGCTTCCATGAAATAACACCACTACAAAAAAACAGCAATTAAAAAAAAGTGTCTAGAAATACAAAAGATGAGTGGGAAAGTAAAAGTATCTTTATACCAGTGTTAAGGCCAAGGAAATCGTCCAGAAAGTACAACAAAAAAATAAAGCAATGGAATAAAAGGGAAAAAGGAGAAAACTAGCTGTTGATCAGCCCACTAGGGCTAACAATATCTGATAATATTAATTCCAGAGGGAGAGAAAAGGAAAAATGGTGGGGTATTAAAAAAAAAAAAAAGAAAAGACAACGACGACGACTACCAAATTGAACAATAGTTAAGATATAAATTCAAAAGACCCACAAGTATGCTTGTGACATAAATAAAAGGAGACTTGCAACAAGGTATACTATTACAGTATTTCAGAACTTCAGGAAAAAAGATCTTTTAGAACAGGCAGGGGGAAAAAAGAGATAAAGGATGAGAACTAAGAAAGCCATGGTTTATCTCTATAGCAACACAGAAAACCAGACAAGGAAGCAGCACCTTCAAAGATTTTAAGGAAAATATTTTCAACACCAAATAATTAAGACTTGCATAGATATATAATGTATAAAAATATCATGTCTTTTGTCAGGCATGGTAGTAAGCCCCTGTAATTCTAGCTCCTGGGAAGGCGGTCAGTGGTAGAGTGCCCCTGAGTTCAATTCCCATAACACACACACACACACACACACAAAGCAAACAAACAACAACAACAACAACAACAAAACAAAAAAGACACTTTTTTTTGAAGTTACTAAAAGATACGCTACACCAGGGCTGGGGTTGTAGAGTACTTGCCTAGTGTGTGTGAGGCACTGGGTTCAATCCTCAGCACCACATAAAAATAAATAAATAAAAATGGGGTGGGGTTGTGGCTCAGCAGTAGAGCGCTCACCTAGCATGTGTGAGACTTTGGGTTCGATCCTCAGCACTACATAAAAATAAGTAAATAATATTGTGTAATAAATATGGTGTCTAACTACAACTAAAAAAAATATTTTAAATAAAATAAAGATATTGTGTCCATTACAAAAAAAAAAAAATTGAAGATATGCTACCCCCAAATAAGGTGGTTAGCCAAAAGAAAGAAAGACTGAATTCTAGAAACAGAGATCTGAGAAAGAAGATAAATAAATAAATGTAATTTCTATATTGGTAGCTATTTTGTAGGTCGAAAGAAGAGCCAAATTTAGAATGTAGCAAAAGGCGAAATGCTCCAGAAGAAAAAAGGAAGCAAAAAAAAAAAAAAAAAAAAGACAAATTTAGTTTATACAGAAAATTTTGCTACTGGGGAGTATAGCAGAAAACTTTAAATGTTACAAGAAAATTAATAAAAAGTGAGGAACTTCTTAAATTCAGGAGAAAAATATACAAGGCTAAGAAATAAGCAATATTTACTTGCTCAATAGTTAGTAATATTAACAGTTTAATCAAGTCTAAATAGATGGTTAAATATAGACAGACACACATATTCAGAAATATTGAGATTAGAGAGCAAAAGAAATTATATAAAGTGTTGCCTTTGGGACAGAATAAAGTGAAGGCAGAAAGGGAAATGATTTCATTTTTGTTACAAACTATTTCATGTATAACTAGGAGAAAAATATAAAGATCTTCTAAAGCATTTCATTGTTTTTTAAGATGTTACCAAAAAATTAAGTATTAAAATGTTTTAAATAGTTTGGGCTGGGGAGATAGCTCAGTTGGTAGAATGTTTGCCTTGCATGCACATACAAGGCTTAGGTTTGATCCCCAGTACCACCCCCCCCCAAAAAAAAAAACAAGGTTAAACATTACTAAATATAAAACAAGTGTTTCAGATTCTAAGAATACTAAAGATGCTTATATCCATGAAAATGGGATTGAGAAAAGCTATATATTTTGACATTTTTCAGCAGGTGCTTGTTTTCAATAACTGAAATAAAAGTGTGCCAGTCTACACTGAAATACCTGACTGTCCTGTTCAATTTCTTCATTAGTTTCAGTGTTAGCCTGAAGTGAAGTCTGGACATCTACAGGGCTCTCTTCAAATTCTTCTATTTCTTCATCCTCATTCTCATCTTCTCCACTTCCATAATTAGTTAAAGCTTGAGTTTCCGCTTTAGATAAATCTAAGTTGATTAATACATAATTTTTAATAAATTTCATCATTTAATCTTTTTTGGTTTGGGGGGAGATTTTTTTGGAAACTGGTTGCAAACTCCTGGACTCAAATGTACAATGACTTCAGCCTCTGAGTAGCCAGGACTGCAGGCACCTGCTATCAGGCTCACATCATTGAATCTTATGGGCCAGATGCTTAAAACAGAGTATATAAAATCTTCAAACTGTAAATACTAGAAATCGTGGCATAAAAAGGCCAGGTAATTTAATCAAGACCACATAGGTAATTTAGTCAAGATCAAATTAGAATTCAAATTCAAGAGTTTGACACTTACTTCTATTCTCATTATATTCCTCTAAACTGTTTAAATAAGTGACCAATAAAGAACCACACTTCAGACTTTTAAACTTACTAATAGATACTGGACATCCTTCACTTTCTTCATCTTCCTCTTGATCAGAAACATCAGATCTTACATTTTTGGGACCTTCGGCACCATATACCTCAGGTGTCTGAATCTGCTTAACTGTTTCAGTCTCATCCTTGTCCTAGCAACAAGTAATTTAAATAATTCTTTTATATACTTTAAAAGGTACATAGTTAAGAAATACAAAGATCATTTCTGACAATCTAATTTGATTTTCAAAAGAAAAAAAGGTTTTTCAGAAAAAATAGCATCTGATGATATACTCTGCTCTCAAATATTAAGGTAAATGCTGTTAAAATTATTTCATATTTTGTTCCAAAAGCATTATTTATAGGCACAAATTAATTAGCACATACTTTGTCTTCATCATCAATCTCTCCAGCAGGTGAGCCATGATCTCCTTCAAGAATCCTTTTGGCCTATTAGCAAATCCATTAAGCAAAACACGTTGGTAATTCAGAAAAACTTTAACAAATATTGCATTTTTCATCATGTATAAAGAAAAGAATACTTTCTTAGAAATGTAGAGTAAGTTCTAAATTAACAAAACTAAAAGTAGCAGCACTTACCTCACTACTCCTTAGACATATAAAAAGGCATCTCAAATTTATTAAGTCAAAAATAAAAACCATCATTTTCTTCCTCCAAACCCCATCCTTCCTCAATCTTCCCCACCTCTAAATGGCACTTCATTCATCCTGATACATAAACTAGAAAACTCGGAACCAGCCTTTGCTTACATTCATTATTCACCTCTAAACCAATGAACACCTCACTGACTTAATGATTATCATATATTTGTTGTTGCACACCCATCTAAGACATTAGCTTATAATTTCTTACCTGGACAATTTGAACAGTTTTATAAGTGGTCCCCCCACTTCTCTCTCTACTCTCCTCCAGTACATGTTTAATGTGGTATACAGAAATTCTTTAAAATTGAATGTGAAATTATGTCACTGCTCTTTTCAAACTTCCCCATGAGTTTCCATCATATAAAGTAAAATATAAATAAATAAAGTTTTTATGTGGCTTAAAATGCTCAACAACTTGACCTTAAAAGAGAATGAAATGAAGGGCCCCTATAAAATTGAGAACAACATCTCCATGCTGACAGTAAGGTTGACAACTTCCAAGCCTGACAGGTTCCAAGAGCACTGAAAATGACGATTGCCCCCTGCCCCTGCCTGTCAAAAACAGAACAACTAAATCTGCATATATTTGTCTCACTTTGTTGCTTTTTCTCTTTAAAAAAGCTGTCCTCACACCCAGAATTTTTGAAAATGAAGTTGCTTCTATCTTTCTTCAAAGCTGGCTCTGAATAAAACCTATTTTTCTACCAAATTGCCTCTGAATGTTTCTGGAGCAGTAAAAAGCCTAGCCTCTTCCCTGCTACCAATATTTCTGCAGCCTAGTCCATCTCTACAAGAAGAAGATACATCACCTATATTCTTACCACTTCCCTCAATATGCTTCTTTCCTCCATGACCTTTTCTGTTCTCCAAGTGATCAAGCCTTCCTTAGAGTTGTTACACTTTAAGTTATCTTTGCATGGAAAGCTATTTCCTTTCATTTTCATTATGAACTCCTTATTTTTCATGGTTTAGCTTATATTTCACTCAAAGGTGAAGACTACCTAGCTAAAGCAAACTGAAAGGAGACTTCCTTCTAATAATTTAATATGGTGTTACGCTGTTTTATTTTCCTTAACCTCTAAAGCAATGGCTAAAATGAATTTATGTCTGGAATATAAATGTTATAAAAATATGAAGTACATGGGCTGGGGCTGTAGCTTAGCAGCAGAGTGCTTGCCTAGCATGTGTGAGGCACTGGGTTCAATCCTTAGCACCACATAAAAATAAACAAATAAAATAAAGGCATTCTGTCCATCTACAACTACAAAAAAAATTTTTTTTTTAAAGTATGAAGTACATAGTTTGACTTTGTCTACTTTAGATTCTAAGAAAGAGAGGTTATTTCTTTTTATCTGGGTCTTGGTCTGCTTCCATTCTCATGATCAGAGGGCCAAGAAAAGGGTGAAGATCTAGAGGGAAAGCTTCCTGGTAAGCCTAAGATACAGGCGGAACCAACTCATCCAAATTCACATGGTCAAAATTAGTTTGACAAGGGAAAGAAACTACAGGAGGATATGAAACTAAAACCCTAACCAACAAACAAGGCTGTCTGTTGTTGGAATGACCTCTGGTTGATATATATTCTTAGAGACTCTTTGGGGACTGGTAACAGCCAGGGCAGGTAGCTGACCAAAAAACTAGATACCCAGTCCTCCTCTCCTCTTTGGAGGCCTAAATAAGTCACAATGAAGTTAAACAGATGTGTGACAATGTACATTTAGCATTCCTATCTGTATTCTGCATTCGTGATTTCTTTTTTCTTTTTTTGCAGTGCTTGCTTGGGATCCAACCAGGGCTTCATACTTATTAGGCAAGTACTGTACCACTAAGTTACACTCTCCAACCCCTGCATTTCTAATATTTACTGTTTTTACTTCTGAGATTTAATATGTAGTATATGTATGGAACTACAATCTGATTAAATGATTTTACTAAAAATAACTACTTTGACTGAGATCAAACAAATTTAGGTATTAATACTGATCATGAACCATACTTAGGGCTGGGGAGTTGGCTCAAAAATAGAGTGCTTGCCTTGCATGCATGAAGCTCTGGGTTAGAGCCCTAGCACGCATGTGCATGTGCACGTGCACACATACGTGCACACACATACACAACCCACTATATTTACAGGCTAATTATAACTATTCCTAAAATCAAAATCAATGTTATTTACCTCTTTGGCATAAGACTGTATCACTCCAGCTGCTTCTATTTTCCTTTTGCATCTCTGTTTAACAGTTATACTATTATTATCCAAATCTTGCATGAGTTTAAAGAAAGCCAATTCATTAAACAACACTTCAGATATCTCCACAAGAAGGTCTTCTCCACAGTCCTTCAGTTTTCTGCCCGCAAATTTTGCCAATGAATCCTATGCATAGACAAACCAAATGATTTTAAGATCAGAGAAAACTTCACTTGTGGGCACAGCAATATACATTATTAAAAGATTAAATTATAATACTGACTTGGAGAAAATCAGTAGTATTACTTTTAAGTACTGAAAAACTTGAAACTAAGGAAAGACAGTTAATTACTAAGTTACTAGGAATTTTGCTAGTCCTGCTTAAAGATTATACAACAAGGGAAAGCAAATAATTATGGTCATCCATAATTTTAATCCTTATTAATATAATTCCTGGGCACAAACAAAACAGGGGATTCCTAATTGCAAAAAGTTTTCAGATAGTACATACTAGGCATATACCTATGTAATACCTTTATACTACAGTAATGAGTCATTAAATACTGTGAGAGAAAAATACAAAGTCCTCCACATCTAAATGGTATCATTAATTTAGTTTCCCCTTTATATTAACCAACCATTCATTGTAATTAGAATTTTCTTCAGAATAAGTTTAAATGTAAACTTTAGTTCAAGTTGAATTTTAGCATCATCAAATGAAAGGGACAATATTATTTTATTCTATATTCTACAGTTAAAACTACTTCCCTTTTCTTTCTTTAAAAAATATAGAATGCCATTTAGAAATAGACAAGCAAATACAAGCAATGTCCCATTACCCAAAACAAATAGTATCTAGTTCAATCATAGAAAGAAGTACTCAAAAAAAAGAAAAAAAATACTACTCAACAAGGCTGAGTGCTTTGTGAAAAAATTCTTGAACAGATTTCAAAAGGAAAACTAGACAACAATAATTTAAATTTCAGCTCATGAAAAAATTTTAATATTCTAGGTGGTATTTGATGTAAACTAACTTGTATTTTCACATATGTGCCCCTATGAAAAAAATCAGGAATGGGATGCAAAAAACACATTCGAATTTTCTTAGATTTAGATAAAAATCTTATTTCCAAATTAATGCTTTGGATTCTGCGTAAAAATAAGGGAGAGCTGTGTGGATCTTGATAAAGAAAATATGTTAATTACAAATAAATTATTTCTCTTTCAGCTAGATTCTAAAAGTTATTTCTCCCTATAGAAATAACCTGATTAAATTTACTAAAATTCATTTATATACAAGCTATCGTAAACATTTTTAATACTTCACATATTTCTGCAAGAACATTTCCATAGTCTTTTAGTTTTCTGCCAGCAAATTTTGCCAGAGAATACTATTTAAAGGATTCCTACAAAGTACACCACCACTGATGTCTTATATTCCTTATAAATTATGCACTGGCAGTATTAAGTAAAGCCTGGACAGTTTGAGCCTATTACTGAATTTATAGTTTAGTTTTAACATTAACATGATGGAAATTTGCATCTAATCCAGGGTTTAAAAAATTAACCAAGTGATAATACTATATTTCAAAAGGAAAACTAGACAACAGTAATTTAAGTTCTAGCAAAATGATAATACTATATCCACAACCAGTATAAACACAAAAAACAGAAGGCAAAATTTCATAGGAAAATTATGCAATAAAATGAAATTAAAATGTATTGTCTAATTTGGAGTAACAACATCTTACTGAGCCATCTCAATGGGAAAATGTTAGGTAAAATGTAACAGTAAAAGTGTCTGACATAAGGAGAAATAAAGTTTTCTTATTTAACACAGGATTTTTCAACCTGTCCCCCTTTTTTTATGGTGCTGGAGACTGAACGCAGGGTCTTAAGTTTGCAGGGCAAGCACTCTACCACTGAGCACACCTCTAGACCTCAAACTGGACATTAATGATTAATTTAGAGTTATATAATTCTGTTATGAGAGACTGCCCTGTACATTGTAGGACATTTAGCAACATGTTTGACCTTTATCTAGTACTTCCCCTCCCACTTCCCTATCTCCCTGTATCATACCTGCTGTATGGTATTCATAAAATGTCTTTAGACATTGTCAAATGTCTCCTGGAAGGCAAAAATCTCCCCTAGTTGAGAACCACTGCCTTGATATAAAGTTACTGTACATATGAATATAGAATATGGATTACTAAAAGCTGGGAAAGATTGGAGGGAAGGGGGATACAGGAGGTCAGCTGATGGGTACCAAAAGGAAGTTCAATAGAAGGAATAAATATTTGTGTTAGAAGCACAGTGAGATAACTACAGTTCACAATAACCTATTATATACTTTATGAAGATCTAGAAGACAGGAGTTCAAAGTATCTAAACATAAAGACATGATAAGAAAAGGGAAATGCTAATTACTTTGATCTGATTAGTGCTAAAAAGTTTTTACAATTGATAACTGGTTTCCAGCTTCTAAAATTTCCTAAATTAGTCAAAAACTATCTTAGAAAAAGTCACAGAACATTTTAAACTTAAAACGTTCTTACTGGGTAGAGAAAAAGAAAATCAAACCAATAGATTTTTAAGTTGGATACATGTAATTCCTAATATTTTTTTAATGAAGAAATAAACTAAAAAGTATTTAAAAGGCTGCTAGAATGAATGACTACTGAAATAAATCATGTAATGCCAGAAAATAGAAAAAAAAAAGAACAAAACAAAAAAAACCCCACCAAAACCAAAATACCTCCCCACCCCCAAAACCAAACTAAAACAAACTAACCAGGTGGTAAGACATAGAAGTATAAACTCTTACTTGTAATATACTTCCAAGTTGCTTATGAAAGAACTTCACAAACTCCTTGCTCTCATCATTTTGCTGGGTAAGGGTCAATACCATGCGTCTTACTGAAGTAAGAAGCTGAGAAGAGCATATTTCATCCATGTGCTCCTAAGAAAAATCCTAGTTGGTTAGGATATACACTTATCTACTATTTAAAAATTTTTAATCCATACATTATGAAATTTCATTTCTCTTGCACAAATAATTTTCACATACACATTTTTAGAAAGATTGACTCATGAGAGCAAACTCCCACCCTACACATATTGAGTTTTGCAATTTTGACCAACATAAAAGGTAATAATATTTTACTAGCTTTTAACTGTTATCATTTTCTTTCTGTATTAAAGAGAACTATCCATGCTATAGTTCCCATCTGCATGTCTTTCTGTTTATAAAGTTCAATTAATTTCAACTACTTTTACAACCCATTCTTATTATCTTCTAATTCAGGGTTTCTCAAACTTCATATGATAGACATCCTGTATATCACAGGATGTTTTGAAGCATACTGGCTTCTCTATCCATTAAATGTTAGTTATACTACTCTCCAAAATATCCACAACCTTGGCCCCATCCTAACAATGAAAATTGTCTCTAGATGTTATGAAATGTCTTGAATCAACAATAACCTCTAACTTTCTTAACAAGCCACTTTAGGTATGTTTCTTTTCTTTTTTATATATTTTTAAAATGTCAATGGACCTTTATTTCTTTATATGCGGTGCTGAGAATCGAACCCAGTGCCTCACACATGCCAGGCAAGCACTTTACCACTGAGCCACAACCCCAGCCCCAGGCATGTTTCTTACTGTCCTTTAAAATTATGTGTGAACTACAAAATAATCTGAATTACCACTAATTTATATATATATATATATATCATATATATATATATATATATATATGATATATATATATATTTTAGTTGTGAATGAACCTTTATATTTATTTATTTTTAATGTGGTACTGAGAATAGAACCCAGTGCCTCACACATGCTAGGCAAGTGCTCTACCACTGAGCCACAACCCCAGCCCCTACCATTAACTTTCTGAGATGAGTCTAAAGAACATCTATTATCAAGTAATCTCCACGACAGCAAAGGGCTTGATTTGTTCACTGCTATGTTCACAAAACAAGACATAAAGTAGACATTCTACAAATATTTTTGAATGAATAATAAATACTGTGTAATCATTAAAAACATGTAACAGAAAAATAATAATCTTCAAAGATGTTTTAACAAACGAAAAAAGCACTATGCATGTGTACAAAATAGTACAAAAAAGGCTCACAAAATGTTGCTGGGGCTATCTCTGGGCGAAAACTAATGGGTCCTTTTTGGCTTTTTTCTTTTGTTTACTTGTATTTTCAGGATTTACTATAATGAAGTTTTTTGAATGACTCAAAAATCAAAATACAGAAAGTTAGTTTATCTTCTAGAAACAATAAGTTTACCTTCAAAAAAGGAATGACTTCTTTCATAATTGCTTTGATCTGTCGATCCAGCTGCTGAGTATCAATTCTAGGACACGGGATGCTAGAAACTTCACTTACAGGTTGTTGTGAACTATGATTTTCAATAATGGGAGTCTCTATTTTTTAAGAAAAATGATACATTAACAAAATGAAGCCTATGACACTATACATATGTATTTATGCCACATTTTAAAGAATGTTTAAATTATGATAATTTTATGCTAAAAAAAGGAAATATATGCAGTTTTTAGCAGTCCAAACAATTAGGAAAAAGTAGTAAAAAAAAAAATTATTAATATGCCAGGTAGAGCCTTTAATTGTTTCAAATACCCTAATCAATCTAAAACATACCTTCTGAATTATTAATTACAGTGGTGGCGGAAGCAGCATCTGCATCCTCAATAACTCTGCAGGTGCATCTCATATTTGAGTTACTTTCGGCCTCAGTCTTCATACGCTCATATTCTCTCATTCTGGCTAATGCCTGATCTAAGTGAATCACTGTGTTACCTGCATTTGGAACAGAAATATTTTTAGTATTCATAAAAGAAACTTTTCACGTATTTCTAAAAAAATAATGTTTGAAGTAAAGAAAATTAGCTTTAAACCAGTTCTATATTAATGGGAAACTTTCTTTACATCATCACATTTATTTACCTAATCTTTACAGTAAGTAACCCTATAAAGTAGGAAACAGTGTTTTCATTTTCAGAGAACTTAAGTAACCTGTCAAAAAGATTTCATAGTCGAGCATAAAAGTAGTGATTTAAACTCACGTTGATTATGAAACCCATTTTGTTCACTATGTTTCATTTAAACAGTAAAAAGAAAACAAATTCCAAAATATCACAAAAATTCTACAGAAAATGATCCAAACTAACACAAGCAAATAAGGTAAGGAAAAAGCCTATTAATGAGAGTTCCTAATTCTCCTATGTCCACTTCAAACAATGCTAGCAGTGAAGGGTTGTTGAAAAAGAAAAAAAAAAATCAGTAAAAGAAAGAATATAGCCAACACTTTAAAAGTTAGTAATTCAGAAAGGGAAGGATAAGCAAAGAGGGAAAGAGTTCATCGTGGAAAACTGCCTTTGAAATCATATCAATCATCTTCTCCTCATATGAACAACTAGAATAATGGCACATGAGATTATTTTTATCAACAAAGTGCCCTGGAGATCTGAATTCCTGACGATTTTGATATCCTTTAATAGGCTGCAGCACAGAAAAATGTTATCAGGTATATTTTCTTTCCTCTGATTTCCTTTCTAAGTTTAGCACTGAAGTTTTGTTTTGTTTTTTAAAGTTATGTAAATTCTTTTTACTACTCATGGGGGAAAAACACAATGTGCCATGCTTTAACATTACCTGAAATTTTTATATAGGTTATTTATGCCAAGAAATGTGAGTTCTTACCTCACACTATGAAGTTAATATTTTTAGTGAAAATGTGTTTGAATAGGTCTGAAGTTCTCCCATTAATTTACTAGGTTTCCTTTAAGGAAACTTTACTTTAAGGAGAAGGAAATTAACATTTTGAACTCTTATTATTCATGCTAGAAAGTTACATACATTTTCCCCAACAATACAGTAAGGTATACAGGATCCCTGCTTCCTTAGTATTTGCAGAATCATAAAGATTAGAAGATCTGCTCAAGGTCGAAGAGTTAAGAGTACTGAAATTAGACTTGAGACTTTTAGGTCCATATTCTTTAAAATGCATATTGCCTTTCCAGTTGTTTCTTTCTTTCTTTTTTTTTTTTTTTTGAGTTGTAAATGGATACACAATATATTTATTCATTTATTTTTTAAAAAAATATTTTTATTAGTTATTGATGGACCTTTATTTATTTATTTGTTTGTATGTGGTGCTGAGAATCGAACCCAGGGCATCACACATGCCAGGCAAGCGCTCTACCACTGAGCCACAGCCCCAGCCCCAATCTTTATTTTTATGTGGTGCTGAGGATTGAACCCAGTGCCTCACACATGTGAGGCAAGCACTTTACCATTGAGCTACAGCCCTAGCCCGATCCAGTTGTTTCCTTATTAATGCAATTCAAAGACTGCATGAGATCAACTTAAAGTCATATTGAGATGATAAAAAAAAATGCACTTACCAAGATCATCTGTTGCAAAAGGTTCAAAATTTGAAGATACAGACATGACACTAACATTATCAGCATCATTTTGTTCACTTATTTTATGTGTTTCTCTTTCAAAGTTCTTCTCAAAAGTTTCCTAAGTTATAATAAAATAAACAAAAATCACTAATATTTCCTTAAAACATTTTATAAATATTAAAGATCTAACAAGGAAACAATATTTGCATAACATTATACATCTTAAAGAGATATTCCATCCAAGCAAAACTGTGAAAATCAACGTTACTAAAGGATAAATGCAAAGTCACAGAAAATATTAAAATATTAAGGAACCTTACAGAACACTTTTCATGTAGCTAAAAAGTCAGCTGATTAAAAATTCTAAACTGACAAAATTAACTTTTAATTAAAATTTAAATTATTCCTACATCTTTATGGACATTCTCTTATCTCCAAACTCTAACAATATGAAGTACCTTACTTTAACATTGTCTCATATTAAAAGAAACAAAAAAGTATAATTAATATTTTTTAAAAGTAGTATTTTATTTATTAAATATAATTTACATACAATAATGCACCCACTTTAAGTGTACCATTTGAGGAATAATGACAAAAGATACACTTCTATAAACAGTTTTCTGAAAATAAAGATCACTTCCACCAGCCCAGAAATTTCCTTTGTACCTCTTTACAATCAATCCCATTGTACCCCAATTATATGATTTCTTTCACTACAGATGTGCTTTGCTTGTTCTAGAATTTCATACAAATGGAACATACAGTGAATACTCTTTAGTGTACTTCTTTTGCTCAGTGTGTTTCTGAAATTAATCCCCAATTGTTGTGTTTCAGAAGTTCGTCATTTTTTAACTGCTGTATTTTTTATCCACCGTATTCCCTTGTGTGGATATATCAGTTTATCCATTCATCTCCAGTTTGAGGCTATAATGACTAAAAAGATGCTGTGAATATTAGTGTACAAGTATTTTTGTGGATATGTTTTCACTTCTCTTGAATGAATACCTAGAAGAAAAATTGCTGGTTCATATGTCAAATTTATGTTCATCTTTAAAAGAAACCTCCAAACTTCTTTCTAAAGTGGTTATGCAATTTTACATTCCCCACAAGCAGTATAAAAGAGTTTCAGTTGTTACATGTTCTAACCAACACTTCTTATGGTCACATCTTTTAAATTTTAACTATTTTAGTGGGTGTGAGGTAGTATCTCATACAGTTATAATTTGCATGCTAGTAATTTGAAGCATCTGTTAAAACTTCCTGGCAATTTTTTTACTAAGTTGTCTTATAATGAAGTTGTAGAGTTACTATGTAGGCCAGCCTCTCCTAACACTACCTTTTGAAAAGCAGAAAGTTTTATTTTTATAAAACCTAATTTTCATTTTTTTCTTCTATAGTTAGTCCTTTTTGTGTTACTGGACATGCTGGGAATTTACTCTAATCCCAGTAACTTGGAAGGCTGAGGCGAGAGGATCTCAAGTTAGAGGCCAGCCTTAGCAACACAGCAAGACCCTGTCTCAAAAAATAAAATGGGCTGGGGATGAAACTCAGGGGTAAAGTACTCCTAGGTTCAATCCCCAATATTAAAAAAAAAAAAAAAAAAAAAGCAAACATACAATGACAAAAAATCCCCCCCAAACCCCAATGTCTATTATTATTGGGGTTTCTCCCCCAATGATATCATTGGGAGGATTCTCCCCCATTTCCTCTTAGAGAGATTTTATAGGTTTTAGTTTTTATAGGACTCTGTCATTTTAAATTAATTTTGTGTACAGTGTGATAGAGAGGTTATTTATGTCTCATTTATATTCTGACTGAAACATTCAAAAAGTATGTTTTTTCCATGTTCTTAAAAATAACTAGCTATTGATCTTTTATTTTAAGTTACCATCATAGCAGAAAAGTCCCTACAGGAAACTGCTGTAAACACTGAATGATGTGTTGCTGCCGGTAAAATGACATTGGTAGAAAGATATTGACATTAATGCTGAATTTAAGTTTTGAAAGAAAAAGTAAATAAACTGTATTTAATTATTTTTTTTAAAATTGTAAGCTTTTTGTTTCAAGTCCCTACTTATTTAAGTAGAACACTGTTTACATTTTACTGTAGATTTAAAATCCTGTGAACTTAACTTTATCTTAAATTTAGTCCAATTTTCAAAATTTGCTATTGATGGTGCAGACCAATGTGCTCAAATCTTTCAAAATAAATGAAAATAATGCTGCCTATATGACAATATGAAACTTGGATAATAAGGAGAGGTACTAGAGTTAGGGATACAAAATTACTGAAAAAGATCTTTTAGAACAGACTTTGCATTCTCTTCCAAACTATTACAATGTCCAATAAACTTTAATATAATCTAATCTATTTTTATGCATATAATTCACAAAAAGGAGGGCACATTTTCAGTTAACTATAATAATGATTTATCCAAAGGCGTACTTCTTAATTTATATGTGAATTGTATAGTCAATGAAAACCATGTAGTTTTAGACACAGGTTTCTGTTAACAATAGCTTAGAAGTTAGATCCTAGTGGAGAAAGATTTTAAGAAGAAAAAAAAAATACATAAAGAAGTATTGTTTTCAACAGGAGTTTAAGCTAAAGAGAAACATTAGAAAAAGTCCACAATAGTTCTAAGGAACTTAGTCTATCTGAAGAAGAGATAAAATAATCTTAAGGAAAAAAATCAAGATCTTCTCAAAAAACTGTGTGTTAGGGGCTCAGTAGTAGAGCACTTGCCTTGCATGTGTGAGGCATTGGGTTTGATCCTAAGCACCACATAAACATAAATAAACTAAAGGTATTATGTCCATCTAAAACTACAAAAATATTAAAAAAAGACTTTGTGTTAATATTTCAACACCATAGTATGATTCCAACTTTCTACCTAGAGCAAATATTTGCGAATCAAATCTTCATATGTTAAGAGTTGTCCTTAAAAAAAAAAAAAGAAAGAAAAAGTGTATTTGCTATCCCAGGACCATATACAACTTTTATAATAGAATCAAGACACTTTAAATAGGTTATTTCCAAAAATACCTAGTACATTATCTCCTTAGTATGGTAGCAATTTTTGAAGAATTTTTTTATAACTTTAATTAATTAATTTAATGTGGTGCTGAGGATCAAACCCAGTGCCTCACCCATGCTAGGCAAGTGCTCTATCACGGAGCTACAGCCTTAGCCCCCTATGGTAGTGATTTTGTTACCTAAGTCATTCCATCAAAATTATGCACACTAAGTACTATTTTCTATCATGCTCCTCACACTCTTCTACTTTTCCAGGGCCTTTTTACTTCATTGAAAAATTTCTCCAAGTTGGGCTGGGGTTGTGACTCAGTGGTAGAGCACTTGCCTAGCACGTTAAGCACTGGGTCTGATTCTCAGCACTGCATATAGATAAATAAACAAATTAAATGAAGGTTAAAAAATTTTTTTAACAAATGTAATACATTAAATTACATTTTCCCTTGATGATTTTCTTTTTTCCAGGTTCTTTTTCACCAAAAGACCTGATTTATCCTGTACTAAGCAAGGGTTTTTACTGTGATTGGTTTACTCAATGTTTGAAGGCACACGAGCTGCATTTATTAGATGTCTGTTACGAATCAGCTCCTATGTTATTATCTATCATTTATGCAGAATATTTTGGTATTTCCCAACATATTTTGATTGTATTTTCTATTTCACCCTCAATATAAAGTAATAGATTACACTCATCTCTTTTTTTAATGCAAAAATTAAGCCAGAATCAGTGACACAAGCCTGTAATCCCAGTGATGTGGGAAGCTGAGGCAAGAGGATCGCAAGTTCAAAGCCAGTCTCAGCAATTTAGCTAGGCCTTAAACAATTTAGCGAAAACCTGTCTCAAAATAAAAAATAAAAAGGGATAAAGGATATGGTTCAGTGGTTAAGAGTCCCTTGGTTTAATCCCCAGTACCAACCAACCAACCAATAAACAAACAAACAAACAAAATTTAAAAAGCTAAAAATTGAATATATTACACATATTCACAGTTTGACAACAACCTATTTAACTTTTGTTCACCGCATACTGAAATTATGTCCATGTTTTTCTAATTATTATCAGCTTACATCATCAGTAGTAGCAAGGCTTTCACTGGGAGTAAGCTCTGAGTTTGAAGCTATCCAAGTACCAGAGTTCACTGACTTTACATTTTCCCCTTCTTTTTCATGGTTTTCAGAAATATGTCTCGATACTATATCCTAAATAAAGAAATAAAATATTTATGAAAAAACATAAGGCTTAATTCCAAATTTATCTTACAAATGGAAAAATAAAGATAGTACTTCTTATCTCACAGGTTAAGTGTAAGAAATAACATTAAAGATGAAACATGGCAAAATTACAAAGACTATCTATAATCCACTTATGCTATACAATAATTTTTAAATAAAATGTCAAGAAAAACAAATCAAAATACATGTAGAATTAGGACATGCTTCAGTCTAAAAAAGTAACCAGACATTATCATGAAGTAAGGTGATAATAGATAGGGTTGGAAAAAGAATGATACCTGCAATGCATATAAAGCCCTCTGCCTTAAGTAGTCTGTATTAAGTAGTTGAAGCTCATGGAAGAGTTCAATAAGAAAATGTGGGCGAGATTCATTTTGAGATATTAAAGTAGCCACTTCAGAATAAATAGTATCCCGCAAAGCTTCAAACATAGAACAATCACTCCCAGTTTCTGGAAGATACAAAAAATCAGGAAGTTAAAAAAAAAAATCAGGAAAGTTAATACTGATAAAATATCTTCATAACAATTCTTTTCATTTATGTCCTTACTTTAAGCTTTAGATTTCTTAAAAATTAGAATATATTTCTGTTGCAGGACATTTCAAGTAGAAAAATAAGATTAAAATTACCAAAAACAATCTGAAAATATAAAAATCAACACTATATATTAAAGAAATACTGAAATTCATGGATAACATGAATCACTATATAAAACCCCATTTATTTCTCAATAAAAAACATTTGGAAAATTTTATATACTTCATGGGGAAAAAAAAATCAGTAAAAATTTTTCAGCACTTGAATGAAATAAGTTCAAATAATCTGCCTTGTTTTTTGCTAATATGAACTTTATAACAGAAAAGAAAATCTGTTTATTTTTAATGTTGAGAACTGCTAACAAAAGCTACTATCTTAAGGTCTATATGGTTATTAGGTTTACTAATTTTCAAATTTCATCTACAATTCCGAAAAGTGCTATACTGATAAATAACTAAATTTATAACATAACAGATCAATTTTACTACAGTATTTTATTTACATTCTCAGTATTAACTGAAGCAGGCAGTGACCTAACTGAAGTTTTTGGTTTCCCCGAATTTCAGCATCTCTATCATTAAGCTACAATTCTACTATATGTATTTGTTGATAACATGAAATGATAACTCTCAAATGTACACAGTCATACTCTTAATTTTAACAGTTCTTAACTAGGAACTATTCCCACTGAATTCTCTCTGGAGGGGGAAAAAAAAAATCTCCAAGTGGTTTTCCTAGCTAGCAAATTCTGTAAACTTTATAGAGCAATACTAGAACTTCAAGAAGCCAGTCTCAAGTTCTGCAAAAATCAGGAATACCTCAGAGAACCATGCTTTCAAAAAGTATGTAAAGAGCATGAATTTAATTGATTTCTGAGAGAGAGAGAGATAAGGAAATGCAAAAGGAATGTGCTCTAATGGAAGAACTTTCTGCTAAGTAAGTAACTGAACAACTTCAGGTCTCAATTTCTGAAAGCATAAAATAATAGTAATACAAAAATGCAATTTTCCTATCTTGCCTCAGATAGTCATGAATATAAAATGAAATGAAATGCTGAAGTTTTCTTAGTAGTTTTAAAATGTTCAAATGTGACATATTATAAAAGTGACATTTACTATAAGCAGAAACCAAAACTTCCTTTAAGAAAGCTCTACTTATAGTAAAATTCCAAATATGATTTGATATACTATCCTGTTCTTTAATCATAGTTGTTTGATCTTGAAAATGTTTCTTTCAAAGGTAAAAAAAACAAAGGGTTTAATGACATCTTTAATATCAATATGAGATAAAATTGTCACTCTAAATTTAAAAAATTATTTCTACATAATGAATTATCCTTCCTTCCCTTCTACAGTGATGGAAACTGTATGCCAATTTCTCCTCCTAGATTATTAATTATAATTAATTAGCTTTTGCTAGGAAAGTCCCTGATCTTGGTCCAGTTTCTCTGATCCTATTTTGATTTTATACTATTTTGAGAGTTCTTTTCTTTGGAATTACCACTGATATTTTTTGTCAGTTCTGGGTCCTTTACAGTTTCCTAAAGGTTCAAAAAGTCTTTCATTTTTTCACTCATGTAGGAGGAGTTGAAGAATATTAACAATGCTAAATCATAAAGAACCATATTTAACCAAAATAGTTTACAGAGCAAAATAGTTTTCTTGAATTTTTCTAATTTCCATCTTGTATCTTTATCACAGTCTGTCATAGTTGTTTTGTTTGATGGCTTCTTATTTTTCAATAGATATTAACTGGTGATAAAAAATAACTATAATATAAAAATATCTGTTTCAAAAATATTAATGTTTTGAAATATTCAAGAAATATAAAATAAGTAACTTTAAAATATTAAAATCTCAAAAATAGTTTCTATTACCCTTATAACTATGTTGATTAGGTTTCATACACTAACTGTAAAACAAGAAAAGCAGCCAATTTTACCAATCAAGAATTTAAAATAAAAGACTTCAGAATTTTATGAATATTAACTTTTTCATTTTTATAATAGTCAAATAACATACACTAAGCTAAATTGTAAAAAAAAAAAAAAAATCAGAACAACATAACTAAGAATTTTAGGACCAATGGGAAAAAATTCACAAAAGTGGACACCAAAACTAAGCAGATTGTTACCTGGCGCTTCATTGCATGCATTTCTGTTAGATTGCTGTAGTATTCTCCTAGCATGTGCTGTAGGAAAGGGCAGACATAAGGATGAACATAAAATGTGTATGAGTAGTAAAGACAGGGTCTATAATATGAATAAGTGAATGAAAAAAAGAATTAAGCGAAATTTTAAAAAATTTGCCAAAGTGAAATGTTATCACAAGGTATGGTTTATTGTTCTATTTAAAAATAATCTCATTAGGGAAAATCTCAAAAGGTTTACTATTATAAACTTACATTACTGTGACTGATGATGACTATCCTAATAAACTTTTATCATTTATTTTTATGAAGCATACACATTAAGATGAACCTCCTATATAACTCCTATAAGAGAAAAAAACTGCATAATCCAATACTAGCAGTTACTACACTCTAATAATCACATAATATGGGTAGAATAACAAGTGTTAGTATACAATGTACAAAATATTTTAGAGAATGGTTAAAATGAAAAAAATCTCTTTTGGGGAATGTAAGGGAGTACTAATTTATACTACTCAGAACATTGTTAAATTCACCAAAATTCAAGCATTACGTTTTTTTCAAATGACAATAAGGTCTAAAGTACCACTATGACTATCAATGATTTAAGTAATGCCTTTCAATTTAGTACCCTTCCCAACTTCTACCCACTGTTTACTCTTTAAAGATGTCACTATTTGATAAAGAAAATAAAAGGAGATGAAAATTGTAAAGTTTTGATAAAATTCTGGGTCAGGAACAATAGAACTATAATTTTTGCTAAAAGGAACCTGAACTTAATGCTTCAAAATTCAGCACTATCATCTCCTAACAATATGAGCTACAGAAAGTAATTTCAAAATACAAGCAAATGTGATTTTTTTTTTAAACCTGAGTAATAAGTACTCATTATTAAAAGTCTTAGAACTTACAGAAGATGATTAAACTGTTAAGTTTTTTTTGTTTGTTTTTGTTTTTGATACTGGGGAATGAACTCAGGGGCACTTGACCTCTGAGCCACATCCCCAGCCCTATTTTGTATTTTATTTAGAGAGAGGGTCTCACTGAGTTGCTTAGTGTCTCACTTTTGCTGAGGCTGGCTTTGAACTCACAATCCTCCAGCCTCAGCTTCCCAAGCTGCTGGGATTACAGGCAGGCATGCACCACCACTGCACCTGGAAAACTATTAACATTTTGATGCATTTTCTTCCAGTCTTTTTAAATTCACGTTTCTGTTTACATATAGAAGGAATCATACACTGTTCAAACAACACTAAATGTTGATTTTTTTTCATTCTGTTTCCTTAAAATAGGTACCAATAAGAACAATTACTGGGTTAAGGATATAACTTTTGAAATCTTCTGCAAAAGTTGTACCAATTTATATTACTAGTTCTTTATAAGTGATAGAAAAGACAGTACCCTGATTCCTCATCAAAAAATGGAAACAAAGCCAACTTAGCATTATAAGTCTCAAATGATATGTAAAAAATTCTGAAAACAACAAAATACATCAATTTTGAAAAATTTTAAGAATAAAGCATAATATATATAATTTCACCTGACCTTATTAACATATTAGTCTATAATTCCTGACTCCCTTTCCATATTTGTTTGAGACGTCTTTATAAATCAGAAAAGTACTAGTACTTATTTAAACTAAGATGGTGGTAAACATATATGACTCCACTGAACCACGTATCTGGTATTATGCTGGAATTTAAGACGTAAATTATCCATTGCCAAGGAACTTGGAAAGGTGATAAGATATTTAAGTAGGTACATATTACATAATATGATACAGGCAACAAAATAGTTTTATATAGGCAACAAAGTAGGTTTATACAGGCTCCAATGGAAACAAAAAGGAGAAATGGAAGTTATTCTGGCTTGAATTCAAATAAAATTTCAGGGTCCCAAATAAAAATTTTAGGTAGGAGTCTAGCATTAAAAAGGGCTTACAGGGTTGGGGTTGTAGCTCAGCAGTAGAGTGCTCGCCTAACATGTGTGAGGGCCTGGGTTTGATCCTCAGCACCACATAAAAATAAAATAAAGGTATTGTGTCCATCTACTAATAAAAAATAAATATATATATATATATATTTTTTTTTTTAAAAAGGGCTTATAAAGGGCAAAAAAGGACTTGAGGCAGAAAGTACAACTGGTAGGGTAAGAAACAGTGTTAACAGCCACGAGAAAACTTTAGATCCCAGTCACTAAAAGAATAAAGTTCAAGGTGGTGAGAAATGAGTCTGGAAAGGCAAGATGGAACCAAGTCCCCAATGGACATATATGTTAAATTAAGGCATTCATACTTTATCCAATAGGCATGGTAAAGACAAAGTTGTAAGCAGAGGAATAACAGGATTTTGTATTAAGCTTTTTAAAAAAAAATTTTATTTTTTAGGTGTAGACAGACACAACACAATGCCTTTATTTTTATGTGGTGCTGAGGATTGAACCTGGGTCCTGCCCGTGGTAGGCGAGTGCTCTACCACTGAGCCACAATCCCAGCCCTGTATTAAGCTTTTAATTATATAAGATTTTGGAATTTCAAATTGGGAGTTCCATGTTAATGTCAACTATTCATGATTTGCTTAGGAATAAGTTTATTAAAATGTGTCAAAAAGTATCATTACACAACACAAAAGCATTTCCAGCTTATATTTCTTAATATCAAGAAATGTGTACCATAATCTCTACTACATAAAATCTCATACATGATAAAAATGAGATAGGGTAATTTTAAAACTTGCTTTAATAAGGCTTTTCAAATCCAAGATGAAGAACTCTTTAAATTAAAGCAAATTTAAGAAGAGAACATACCTGAAGATATTTCTGTAGACCTATTATATTTTATTATTTTTTCCAGCTGTTCATGATTCTTTCTGCTGAATACTTTTGCTTGAACAGGCTCTTCAGTCTGAGCTGAATGTCTGTTCCTACTTTTGCAAGGTTCACATGTGCTAGACATACTGGCACTTTCATATCCTTTAGTTTAAAAAAAAAAAAGTTATAGCTGTTACCAGTTGCAGCAACTCAGAGTGAAAGAGAAATCGATTTCCATAGTGAAATAGTTCAAGTAACTCAATTTATAGTTTCTATGAAGGCCTGGTATCAATTGAACATAATACACTAATATTATCTTGGAGCTATCTTTGCAGAAACCTTTGGAAGCATAGGGTAATAGTAATAAACACTTCACTAGCTTTTGACACTTGCATTAAAGACTTTATCCCATTTCAAAATATAGTACAAGGCAGACCTTATACCACCAAATGCTCTACCGGACTCCAAGTTAACAAGTTTTCAGTATTAGGAAAAACAAGAATCATATTCAATCTATATAAATATCCATAATAAAGTGTACTGGGCATTAGTCAAATATGTCTGCCTTTCTTATTTATTATATATTTTATGCAAATGACTTGGTTTAAAAAGACTTACCCACCCGCAGGTTATACATATATTCTACTACATTTTCCTTCTATGTATTTTTTTCCCCGCCCACATTCATTTTGCTATATGGTACAAGGTAAGAATTCAATTTTTTTTTTGTTGTGGTTTTACATAGGTAATTGATTATACCAATCCTCTCTTCACTGAATTAAAATGTGTATTGGCTAATATATTAAACCCTCATATTTACTAGATTTTATTTATTTATTTACTTTGGTGCTAGGGATTGAACTCAGGGGCACTTTGTCATGGAGCCACATCCCCAAACTCATTTTGCATGAGCCCAGACAGGGCCTCACTGAGTTGCCTACCGCCTCGACTTTGCTGAGGCTGCCTTACCATGATCTTCACATAAAACACATCAGAAATAAGGGAACGATTGCCACATTATTATATAGAATGACATAATTGAAAGTATTGTTGGTGGTGTCATTTAATAGCACACAATGCTCTGAAGAAAAAACCATTTAAGCACATTATTCTAACAAGAATGTTTTTATAAATGAAAATAAGCTTTTGATTGCTAATACTGAATCACATGAAAAAATGCTAAATAAATTGAAATTACAATGCAGGTTACTTAGCATATATAAAATTATCTCTGGGGGAACCCCACTAGGTACTTTAAAAAAGATATACATACAAGGACCAAAAAAAAAAAAAGAAAGAAATACAAATACATACATATATACAGCTAACCCTCCCTCCCAAACAACCAAAAATGTGACATGAAACATACCACAACTAAGATGCTATAAAGAAAGAAGAAAAAACTATTGTTTTATATATGAGACCCAAATTTAAAATATCAAAGGCTAGATTTCTGAAGTTGAGCTACTAACGTGTGATTGAACTGGAGAGCACTTTATAGTAATCCTCCAGGAGCAGCAGAAGAATTTAATGAATGTTAACAGTACAGAATAACACTGGCTAGGTCAGCTAGTGTAACAGCAGCAAGAATAATACATGAGGTTCATTACTTTAAGGGTGTGATCTTCTACACCACTTCATTACTCTTTCCTCTATCTCCATTTTTTTCTCAGTATGAGTGGTTCATATAATTAGAAGAAATAGTACTTCTATATGGCCCTCCTTTGAAGGGAAATGGCTTAGCCATGGCCCCTTAAAGACCTTACATGTTTCAAAACAGGATACCAGATGTAAGGACTAAACCACTGCTGAATCTAATTCATGGCAGAAAATCATGTGACCCTCTTGGAATACAGAGCTTCTATGTGATCATTCCCTACTTGCTGTCTTCTCTCCCTGGGAGGCTATTAGTAGATAGTTTTGCATTGCCACTCAGGTTCTGATGAAACATGAAATCTTTCTACCTCACTCCTGAGGGGACATCTGCAGACTATTAAATGCCTTAACTGCATGCAGTACATCTCTGATTCTCAGCAATAGGGTGTCCTACCACTGAGGTTACAACTGCCATTTGGCACCTCTTGTTTCAGTTTTCCTCTTTTAAGTGTGAGACAAGGGAGCTGGCATCTCTGACTACTCTTCGTTTCTCAGGCCTTACCTTACCTTTTTTTTTTTGAGATTCGGTCTCACTAAGTTGAACTTGTGATCCTCCTACTTCAGCCTCCTGAGCCTCTGAAATTATAGGCGTGCACCACCACAAAAGGCTCCCTTGCCTAAATGTTATTTATTTATTTATCTATTTGTTTATTGGAATGAACTCAGGGGCACTCAACCACTGAGCCACATCCCCAGCCCTGTTCTGTATTTTTATTTAGAGACAGGGTCTCGCTGATCACCTCTCTTTTGCTGAGACTGGCTTTGAACTCTGGATCCTCCTGCCTCAGACTCCTAAACTGCTGGGATTACAGGCACGCAACACTGTGCCTGGCTTGCCTAATTCTTTACATCTGTTTAATGTGAGTAATAAGAGAGGGTGGAGGAAAGACATAAAAACATAAATAGAACCCTGAAGTCAGTACATTAACAAGTCTGTTCAATTTTCCAAGAAAAGAAGGAAGAGGTGAAGATATAGACTATGGACCTATTCCCCCTCAAGAATATCAAAACAGGAAACTGGCCTGGTAGAGTGTCACCAAATATCCGATAACTGAAAAATTCAGCAAAGCAGGAAATCACCTTCAGCTCATAAGATTTAAATCTGAACTGAAGCAGAGAAAATGAATTTTATATAATTTGTAAATTCTTGCCTCACAAATAGTTAAAATAATTGCCACCATCTGAATGAAATAAGTGAAGGTTTAGCATTCCATTCAATGAAAGAATATCAATAAGTGCAAAAAATATATATATAAACAGTTAAGTCTAGTAAGTTTGGGACAGTAAACTAGCTGTCTCAATTGTCTCAAGATAGCAACTTAAGTACCACTGTGCTGGTCTATTTGTAATATGCTTTTTTCCTTTCCGAATTCCTGTTAGCATGCTTCATCCCAATTCTATATTCTACATTCTTATTGTTATTCTGATTTGGAAAGTTTCTCTCTCGTCTGACCCCATTACTAGTTTTTTTTAAGATGCAAAAAGCATCCTTTTCTTGTAACTACTGTTGGCCATTTCCTTTCCAAACAGAAAAAAAAAATCAATCAATGACCTATCTCAGCACTTCTCAAGATTTTGTTTTTTAAAAAATAATTTTAGTTGTAGATGGACACAATATCTTTATTTTGTTTATTTAGTTTGTTTTGTTGTTGTAGTTTTTTTTTTTTTTTTTAAATGTGGTGCTGAGGATAGAACCCAGTGCCTCACACATGCTAGGCAAGCATTCTACCACTGAACCACAACTCCAGCTCTACTTCTAGACTTTCATGTGTGTATCTTCACACAGAATACATGGAATCTTGGTAAAATGCATAATTTTACAAAGTGTATGATTTTGTTAGTATATGAGTGCCCAAAACCTCCATTTTGATTTATGTTCCCAGATGATGCTGATTTGCTTGTCCATATCTCACATTTTGAATAGCAAGTATTTAGCTGACTAATGTGATTCTGCTACATATTAATCTGACTGTGCTAGATACTATTTGATTCTGTTATTGAATCTTTTATTTTTGTATGTGTGATTAAAGTGGTACTCTCACTAACAGAGGGTCTTGAATGCTTGTTGAACAAATACAAAAGTTTGTTTTGGCAGGCATTTGTAAACTTAAATATGAAGGAAGAAAGCATAAAGATGACAATGTCAACCCCTGCCTTAAAGTTAAAGATTATGTTATATATATATGGAATTGAAATTTCTCAGAATAAAGCTGTTTACAAAAACTCCAAACGCATCAATATTTCTAGGCTTAGGGAGACATGGCCCTAAATTGGCAAGGGTTCTCTAAAACTCTGCTACTCAAGGTGTGCTCCACAGATCAATATTGGTAATACCCAAGTCTGTTAGAAAGGCAGACCCCCAGGATCCTTCCAGGCTACGTGAACTAGAATTTGCAATTAAAACAGATTCTGAAGGAGTCTTGTGTGAAACATTAAAGTCTAAGAATCAATGCCCAGAATTTAGCAAGGCCCAGAGCAACTTAGCGAGACACTGTCTCAAACAAATAAAAAATAAAAAAGGGCTGGGGATGCGGCTCTATGCTAAAGTACACCTGAGTTTAATCCCTGTTACCAAAAGAAAGAAATCATTGCCCCAGCACTCTCGAATCCCCTGGCTGTATCAGAGAAAGCTAGAATAAACCATTTTTATGGGAGCAAGGCATTTGGGGAATAAAGTTATATGACTATTCGAAGGGCCTCTCTCAAAATGCCATTATCTGGTAGCACAAAAAGTAATCTTGAAGAAAGCACAGTAGTTGTCTGAATGGTTTCAGCACTGGTTAATATACAAAATAAATCCACTGCTCTTGAACATTTAATTACTAGAAAATTATTTCAAGAATACACTAAGAAAAATGCCATCCCTGATCAAATTTGCTTGTTTGACCATTAGATAGATTCTTCAATGAGGGAAGGCGTAGGAGCCAAGGATTAAGGATGCATGAATTACTAAGACCCCCCCCCCCAAAAAAAAATTGCAATCATTCTCTTATGTTACATCCATAGGTTTTGCTGGCTTTTTTAAGGGTTCCCATCACCCAAAAATGATTAAGAAGAATGCTACCAAAGTTGATGAGTATATTGTTTTTACTACAAGATTTCCCAGGGATTTTAGTGTATCTGTTTTATGAACTTCCAAGAGAGGGAGTCAGCAGTTATACATAATTTTTTCAAACTTTCCTTATTATAAGCTTAGAATACTTTATTCTGAAGTATCAAATATTATCTCCTTAAACTCAACAACCTCAAAACCACAAACAAAAAGAATCCCTTGCAAATGTGAGGAAGTATCCCTTAGCTATAATATTCCAGATTTTAGTGAATAAAAACTATTTTTAACCTAGTACTTGACTTCAGAAAATTCTCTAAAAAATCAAAGAAAACCTATTTTTTTTTAAAAGGTATATGTAGTAGCACTATGAAGAAAACTTTAGTATGATACTCAAAAGCAAGATTCAATAAAATATCAGTTTGGTTCTTTGTTTGTTTGTTCTTGAAGGACTAACAGTGGCTGTTTTAACAGTGGATTCATTTGTGTGATATTCAAAAATTACAACATAATTATAAGTCCTCATTTCTTTAAATGAAACCATCAAAAATCTAACAAGTTACAAAAAGTGGAATGCTTGGACCAGATGTAACAAAAGACAGAAAAGAGTAAAAACAAGGACATTTTGGGAATTCTTCAGTAACCTAGAAAATTTGGAGAACACCTTTCTGAGTGAGCTCACAGAAACCATATATGCAGAAAACATACTAATGTTTATGAAGCACAAAAAAACAATGTATGATATGTTATAAAATATTTACATTAAACTCTTGGAAAAAAATAATAAAGATAACTAAAAATGACTGTTAGGTTACCAACACTAATGCCAATCAACATTCAACAAATTGCAATACTTACCAATATTTTTAACTCTGCTTTTCAACTGAGTAGAATTCCTCTTTTTACTCTTCGATTTGGGTGTTTTGTCTTTAGATGCCAGGCTGGCTTGTGCAGATGCTTTTCTTGTCTTAAATGTTTTAGTTACTGTTGTTGGATCTACTGGGTCAGGCATACTGCTAAAGCTTTCTAATGATTCTTCATCAAACTGGCGTCTTCTCCTGCTTGTATCTAAGTGATTTTTGCGGTTACTATTTGTAGTTTTCTCTACAGACACTGCAAATCCAGTCTTGATAAATGGTTTTCCTATTTCTCCTTCTTGGTCATACGACCATGGCGTCCTAATGTTTTCTACCTCCTCTTCAGGCTGTTTCTGATTCCTTACCAATGAAAACAAGTATTTAGAAATCACACTATAGATTTATTAACTGAAAACTTCAAAAACTAGTTTACTAAGGAGATTTTGGTGAATAAAATCTTCAACAGGCTATAAAATGTTTTCATTAAATATGCATTATATGGGCAAATACTACATATTATGGATTACTTGAAACTTTAATTTTGGACTCTTCTCACTAAACCATTTTTACTGGCAAAAACTCAAAATCAAAGATCTAGCATTTATAATAGAAAGAAGGAAAGCAAAATTAAGGCAAAATGGGACACAGAAGGAAAAAAAAAAGTTCAGGGAACTAAAAAAGAGCTGTAGCAGAGGGTTCGGGAACATACATGGATCTCTTTTTATCTAAAGAACTTCTAACATAACCAGAATTTATGAAAACAAACTCTGTTTGTCACTAAACTCTGTTCATTAAGTATAGCCTACATCTGTTGGTCTAGTATCATTTCCCAAATTTTATTTGCTGAATGCTGGCATCCCTTAATATTTAAAAGAAATTCACTATTCATCTAAGTTGGGGGAAAAAGGCAAAACAAATTTAATATAGGTATGTAGAATTTCTTAGAAGTTTTAATATGTCAGTGTGCTTTATAAATGTCTTAAGAGTAATAGTGAGCAAGAATTCTACAACATTTTATCATAGAACTTGCATGGACAGCAGTGTTCCAAAGAACAGTTTGGGAGACACTGTCCACAGGGTAATATGTCTAATGTTTACTAACCTAGCAACTTTACAGGAAAAGTTCTCTGACCCTAGCTCAAAACTAAAAATTTTATCTGACTTGTTATCTCTATAGTTATTCAGGGAACCTATGATAGTTGAGATTTTAGGAGATAAGTTCTATCTATTCAGAGGTGGTAAAAATATCTAAAATAAGATATCCAAATCTGTCCTAAAAATATAAATACTTAATACAAAACTAAAATAATTTTAGAATAATTTATATGTATGTGTGTGTATGTGTGTGTGTGTGTGTGTGTGTGTGTATATATATATATATATATATATATATATATATATATATATATATATATAAACATTGATAATAATGAAGTAGGGAAATGCATTAGAATGAAGTCCCACTGACTGTGATGGAGATTCATGGCAACAGTGCATTAAACACCGTATTCATTTTTTTTTTTTTAAGATGTAGTTGGACACAATACCTTTATTTTATTTATTTATTTGTTTGTTTGTTTGTTTTTATGTGGTGCTGAGGATCGAACCTAGAGTCTCGCACCTGTTAGGTGAGCGCTCTACCGCTGAGCCACAACCCCAGCCTCCCCGCATATTCAGTTTTGATGAAAAAAAAAATACTTTCACAGAACAACATCAAAGTTAATAGGAAAAAATGGTTAATCCAACTAATAAGAGTCCACAAAGTCCAAGAGATTAATTGTAGGATTCCTAGAGGTGATTACAAAGTCGGGATGCTAATATTTTTTTAGTTAATCAAGTTAAAATAAAATCCCTAAAAGTTCATAACAATTAGTATCAAATGCTAAATTAAAAGGCTGGGACATGTCCAAAAGTATAGCTAAAAGTAAATAGAATGTGAATTTTGGGGGAACAGGAATACTAAAAATTGAATTCAGGGGCACTTTACAATTGAGCTACATCCCTAGCCCTTTTCCTAAATTTTTTATTTCAGGACAATCTCACTAAACGGGTAAGGCTGCCTTCCAACTTGTAAACCTCCTGTCTCTGCCTCTAGAATCACTGGGATTACAGGAGTACATCATACCTTGCCCGGCTACACCACTGCAACTGGCAATGTGAATTTTTTTAAAGGACTTGGACAGCAAATCTTAAGAGATGTTTCTGACAGAATATAAAGTTTTTCCTGAAACTAATAATAAAAACACTGTAAGATTTTCACCAGCTGTATGAAAATAAATTCTGGGGATCAACATTATTATTAAAATATTATTTATGTAGCTATAAAAATGCCTAAAGAAAATGACTATCTTGAGCCAATCTAACTAATCTCTCACACTATTTGTGTCAGAAATTGTACCTGGGAAAAGTATCACTTTAAAAAATAAATATGAGAAAGAAAATGAAATCCTAACTAGTGACTGATTCTATTAGTAGTCAATATTATATCTGAATGATCTTTAGAAACTGATTCTAATCAGAGGCTATGAGTCAAATAAATGGACCATCACTTAACAAGTATCCTCCAGTAGTTAACATTACTTTCTAGTCCTAAGTCAATGAACAGTGAACTTTTTTAACATTACAGACAAACAAATCAAGGACAAAACACTATATGGGTCAGGTCATATCCTTCCAAATTAAATCTCACAGAATATCCTGGACCAAAATTCTGAACTACTACTCTTAGACCAGGGTTACCAGCAGATATAATATGCCTAAGAGATATCTAGTAAGGTGTAAAAGTTTCATATTTCCAATACTATCAAACCAAACCATCACAAACATCCTCCTTCATTGTGTTTTCAAATTACACATAACTACATAATTACAAAAGTGAATGCTTCAGCAAATAACAAGTCATGTTCACAATCAAGTACCTCTGCTTTTCTGCTCCAATAGAGGAACTGCTTTCAAAAGGTTTTGGGAAAGCCATATATTCTGTTTTCCCTGAAGAATTCTGGGCTAAAGGTTGCTGCTGTTCAGTGGATGTAGAAATATTCTGAGACAAATCTCCAAAATTAGAAGGAAATAAAGGGCTGAAATTCATACCTAATAAATAAAAGCAATGGGTAAAAGAACAATAAAGAAATGTCTTTAGCTTTAAATGAAATTAAAGACAGCTTTTTTTTTTTTTTTTTTTAGTTTTCGGCAGACACAACATCTTTATGGTATGTGGTGCTGAGGATCGAACCCAGGCCGCACGCATGCCAGGCGAGCACGCTACTGCTTGAGCCACATCCCCAGCCCTAAAGACAGCTTTTAATTAAAGTGCTGCTCAAACCCACTCAAACAGAAAATTATTCATTTAATAAATTAATGTTTATTTATTCAATCACTATTTATACGCAGCCACTGGCATACAAAGATGATTAATAATCCTTACTCCTTAAAGGACTAAAGTTATAAATATTAGTAAATGATATTTATCAAATTATTACAGGATACCAGACCCAACTATAGGCACTTTACATATTATTTCATTTACTGTCCAAAATAACACTATAAAATTGATACTATACTCATTTTGCCATGAGAAAAAAAGGCTTAGAGATCAAACGTCTAATAAGAAGAGATGGTTAGATCTCAGGTATGCAAGAATCTAAAGTTTATATTTTTTCCCACCCTAATTAGGCAAGCAAAATATCATTACATACTTACCAAACAGTGCTTCCAGGTCCCTGCATAGGGCTATTTAATAACCTGGAGAGGAGGGCTTCACAAAACTGAACCCGTTTATACAGAACGAACAATTATTGTACATGGTGTTGGCATAGGTATAAAGAGTATTACAGTGAAAAGAGAATGAGCAACTTCTCATTCATCACTTAAAAGTCTACTCAATGTTTGTTGTCAATATTCACAATATAGAACTAAAAAAGCTTGTTCAATTTTTTAATGCCACCATCTTGAAAATCCTGTTAAGAATATATACTGTGATACATAAACATAAATATGTTCACAAAGCTCTCCCAACTTTTTTCCTCCTCCTACATTCACTTGTAAACAACAACTCTCCTTTATGATTCATTTCATTTAACTAGTCACTTAACTTATTCATTGTATTTCTAAAGTCTTTTCATTTTTCTTTACCACTACTAGCAATGCCTTAGATCAGGTTGTCATTCTTTCCCTAATATTACTGCTAAAGTCTTTTATTTACCAGCTCCTCCTTCCTTTTCAATCCTCCCACACTATCACCAGTATAATATTTCTAAAATATAAATCTCACATCTGCTCAGAGTCCTTCAATGGCCTCCTCTTCTCTACAGTGTAGTCGAAGTGTTTTTGCCAATTACAAAAGGCTTCTGTCCTACCTACTAGTCACACTTAACAACCTCTAAATTTCCTAAATGATATGTTATTTCATTGCTTTGTTACTCTAAGTGGCTCCATTCATTAGAAAGTCCTTTCCTTTCTAATCTCTCTGGTAATAAATTTTATTCAAAAACTAATTTGCCCAAGCATTCGCACAATAGCTACATCACTCATGGCACTGCACTAGAAGCATTTGTTAACATTCTTAGCTTCCTCAATAGATTCTTAATTCCTGAAAGGATTTATCTCCTTTGACTCGCAATAACTGAATGAAAGCCTAAGAGAAATGCACTTACCAACAAGATATGGTGCTTCTATAGAAGTATACTATGTTAATCATCTTTACTCTCCTAATGCTTTACATAGTGCTTGCTATAGAACAGCCACTAAATAGATTTTCTCCCTTTCTAAACAGCTGAAGCAATCATTCATTAGTAATTTACTTAGTTTTGTTAGCAACTATATTATTAAGTTTTCATTATAAGAAACAAAGTAGAAAAAAAGTTTCTAACTTGCCTTGCAAACATTTCCTACCATTTCAAAATAGAATGTTAAAAATCTATGCAATATCACAATACCAGACCTTAAACTATATTACAGAGCCATAGTAATAAAAACAGCATGACACTGGCACTAAGAGATACACATCTACCAATGGTACAGAATAGAAGACACAGAGACAAACCCACATAAACACAGTTATTGCATCCTGGACCATGGCACCAAAAACATTAATTGGAGAAAAGATAGCCTCTTCAGCAAATGGTGCTGGGAAAACTGGAAATCCATATGTAACAAAATGAAATTAAACCCCTATCTCTCACTCTACATAAAACTCAAAGTGGATCAAAGACATAGGCATTAAAACACAGACCCTATACATAACAGAAGAAAAAGCAGGCCCAAATTCTGTACCATTTTGGCTTAGAAACTGATTTCCTTAACAAGAGTTCTAAAGTGCAAGAAGTAAAATCAAAAATCAATAAATAGGATAGATTCAAACTAAAAAGCTTCTTCTCAGCAAAGGAAAGAATCATGAAGAGAAAGCCTACAGAATGGGAGAAACTCTTTACCTCACACACCTCAGATAGAGCATTAACCTTCAGGGTATATAAAGAATGCAAAAAAACTCAATACCAAAACCCCAAATAACCTAATCAATAAATGGGCTAAGGAACTGAAGAGACACTTCGCAGAAGAAGAAATACAATCAAACAACAAATATATGAAAAAATGTTCAGCATCTCTAGCAATTAGAGAAATGCAAATCAAAACTACTCTAAGATTTCATCCCACTCTAGTCAGAATGGCAATTATCAAGAATATAAACAAGGGGTTGAAGTTGTGGCTCAGTGGTAGATCACTTGCCTAGCATGTGTGAGGCACTGGATTCGATCCTCAGCACCACATTAAAAATAAAATACAGGTATTGTGTTCACATACAACTAAAAAATATATTAAAAAAAAAAGAATACAAACAATAATAAGTGTTGGCAAGGATGTAGGAGAAAAGGTACACTCATTCATCACTGGTGGGACTGCAAATTGGTGCACCTACTCTGGAAAGCAGTATGGAGATTCCTCAGAAAACCTGGAATGGAACCACCATTTGACCCAGCTATCTCACTCCTCGATTTGTACTCAAATGACTGAAAATCAGCATATTACAGAGACACAGCCACATCAATGTTTATAGCAGCTCAATCCACAATACCAAGCAAGTATGCAACCAACCTAGATGCCCTTCAACAAAATGGATAAATAAAATGTGGTATATATACACCATGGAATATTACTCAGCCTTAAAGAAGAATGACTTTATGGCATTTGCAGGTGAATGGATGGAGCTGGAGAATATCATGCTAAGCAAAACAAGCCAATCCCAAGAAACCAAAGGCTGGATATTTTCTCTGATATGTGGATGCTAATTCATAATAAGAGGGGGCTAACAAAAAATAGAGGTACTTTGTATTAGGAAGAGGGGAGTGAAGGGAGGGGAGGAGTTATGGGGGTAGAAAAGACAGTAGAACGAATCAGATATTATTACCCTATGTACATAACTGGTGTGATTCTACAACATGTATAACCAGAAGAATGAGAAGTCATACTTCATTTATGTATGATGTATCAAAATGCATTCTACTGTCATGTATAATTAATTAGAACGAATTTTAAAAAATCCATGCAACAAATTATAATATCAAAAAAATTTTTTTCTTTCAGTTTCAGTCACCTACCTGGTGCAAATGATGAAAAATTAGTAAATCCAGGCAGATTAAATAGATTTACAGGTTGTGTTGGAAAGCTGAAAGGACAAAATAAACTGGGAGATGAAGGGTGTGACGCACTACTTCCTCTTTCCTTGCTTCCAGATTTTTCTGGATGCTGATTTTGTTGGCGCATAAGTTCATTCAGCATTTGTTTCAACCTACAAAAATTTAAGAAGTCAGTAATTTTAAAACAAGCTATATTATCATCTATAAAGTATATTCAGGAAGATTATATGTAAGAAATAATTCAACAGCATGCAGGACTGTTCTGGTCCTACAACAAATAAATGCTTGCTCTGCTAGCCTTTGGAACAAGAACTGAAGGCAGTGTCTCCTGTCAGACAGCAAGTACAAGTAAATTTTTTTTGTTTATAGCTTCATTACTGGCATAACTTACACACTACAATTCACCCAATGTTAAGTATACAATTCAATAATTCAGAATTTTACAAACAAAAGTCCACAATTTCAATATGGAACAATAGAGGAATCACTGCTTATCCATTTCTCAGGTGGTTGAGAATGTGTTAATATATATTTGGTTCATGCCCTTTCTTCCTAGCAGATAACTATAACACTCTCACACAATTTTGGCACTCAAAATTGTCCACATTTCTAAGTAATCAATTACCTCTGAACATTATTCTGTTGCCATGTTAGCTGTGTGTAGCACTGGTTCAACTGGTGCATTATGAGGTGTACCTGAGGAGATGCAACATTGCTTGGCATAACACTGTAAGGACCTGTGAGAAGAGTTTGCAGCAGACAAGACAGAGTCTATTGAAAAAAAAATTTGGTAACAGTTACTGATGAGTTGAGGAAAATTTGTATTACTTCGAAAATAATACAAATAAGATACTTATTTTTGTAGTAAACTTTACCTGCTGGTCTTGCATCAAAGTCTGACAAATATTGACACTGAAGTCAAGTTGTTTCTTAAGCTGGTTAATTTGTTCTTGCCATTGTTCTTTCTCTTCTACATAAGAGAGCTCTGATACCCACCGAAGGTTTTCTTGCCGTTGCATGCTGATATTCTGTTGTTGTCTTGTCTTGGCTAATGGGCGATAATTTCCATCTGCCGAAAAAGGGCGATTGTTCTTCCACCTAACATAGAATTTAAAGCCTTAAGTTATCACATATAATAATTCGGTTTTTAAAATACAGCCATAAACCTGATATCCTAGTCTCTAAGCAAATATTCTCGTGAAGTTCAAAGGACTTATAAAATATAAAAAATAGAGGGGAAAACCTGCAATTTTCTAGTTTTAAACCATTTTTAAAAACTGCTTCCCTGTCTTTTTCCTTCATGTCTTTACACAGAAGAGCCCATTTATTTCTGTATTCTTCTGTCAAATGAAAACACTGACTATACTACAATCTTCCATTCCTCATGCTTTAAGTTTAACCACACACATTCCATTAAGTGGAACTATTCTATCTAACCATCTTTTATTCATGAAAAAATTGTTTTCACTGTTATAAATCAAAATGCAGTTAATATTTTAAAAAAATTTCTTTGAGATGGAGTCTTGAGCCCAGGTTGGTCCTGAACTAGGCTCAAGTGATCCTCTCCTTAGCCTCCTGAATAGTTAAAAACTATAGACAGTGTGCCCCCAGGTCCACAATGCAATTAATATCTTTGTTGACACATCTTTTCACTATCCATCATTTTTCATTTTTGCTTAATTCCCCAAAACAGTAGCAAAAATGAAAACTTATGTATGAATCTTGACACAGTCTCGCTGGGACCAGCAACACCTGTGATATATTAATAAAAGCAGTCTCTGTCCCTGGTTTTTAGCATAACACTCTAAAAACCCTTGACATCTCCTGAGTGGTAGAATGTCTTTTGTTATTCATAATAAGCCCATTGTAACCATACCTGAGTTTATACTAATGAAGTAACTATTGGAAGGCCCTATATATCTTCATGATGGAGAAGGGAGTGGTCACTAGAAAAACCAACCAGTCCATTTAGAGGGTTATAATTTTCAGACTCATCCCCTGAACTCCAGAGGAGACAAAGAGGCCAGAGCTTGCATTTAATCAACAATGGTTTTATTGATCACACCTATGCAATGAAATGCCCATAAAACCCCTAAACAATGTAGTTCAGAAAGCTTCTAGGTTGGTGAGCACATCAAGGTGTAGGAAAGTGGTATAGCAAGAGGACACAGAAGATCTGCACACCTCCTCACCCCATACACTGCTTTATGTATTTCTTTCACTTGATGGTACTTGAATCGTACTTATAATTGGTAAATATAAGTAAGTGTTTTCCTGCGTTCTGTGAGTTGCTCTTACAAATTATCAACTGAAAGAAGGGTTGTGGGAACTCTCAAATTTGTAGCCATGTTAGACAGAAGTACAATTATCCTAGGGACTAAGCATTTACATCTGAAATGAGGATACTCTTGTGGAAATGAACTGCTTTACTTATGAGGTCTATACTAACTCTTGTATAGAGTGCTATAAATGTGCTACAAATGAATTTTAAGATACTGAGCTAGTTTGGAGAATTGTATAATTCCGTGGTGTCAAAAACCCGAGATACTTAAAATCAAGCAAAAAACTAAAACAAACAAACAAACCTATTTTTAGATTCCTTTGCATTATAGGAATTGTGATTCACACTATTAGGAGGATACATAGAAAAATTATCATTAGAACTGGCATCTTGCTCTTCTTCCTCTTCTTCATCTGTCCGAACAATTCCTTCAGAAAGGTAACCATCTTCATCTCCTTCTTCATCTAAGGCACACTGAGTAGAACCTCCCCAAGTTGCCATTGTTCTAGTGATTAAGAGACATAAAACAGTTTCCATTCTGAAAGTAAGCTAAATACTTTATGCACCAGACCTAATATCAAACATATATATATATATTAACACACACATTTAATCATAACTCTATAAGATAAATCGTACTCTCCTAATTATTGCTATACAGATTAGTTTGCCTTCCATCAAACAATTCTTTAATTGAATTGAAATAGTAATTACCTCCCCAGGAACTTTTTTTTTTGCAGTACTGGGGATTAAACCCCGAGGCACTCTACCACTGAGCTATAATCCTAACCTTTTTTATTTATTTATTTATTTATTTATTTTTACCTTTTTTATTTTTTGAGAAAAGATCTTGCTAAATTGCTAAAACCAGCCCTAGCACTTGCAATTCTCCTGCTTCAGCCTCCAGAGTATATGGGATTACTGGCATGCGCCACTGCACCTGGCCCTTAGGACTTTTTTCCTTAACTAAACCTCCCTCAACTTTTCCTTGACTGACAATTCTCTACTTAAGTGCTATCCAAAAGAATTTTCTGTGTGCTGGGGATACAGCTCAGTTGGTAGAATGCTTGCCTCCCATGCACAAGGCCCTGGGTTTAATCCCAGAACCACAAAAACAAATAAACAATCAAAACAACTTTTTGCAATAGTGATAATGATTGATACCTGTGCTGCACTACACAGCGGATGCTAGGTACACATAGCTACTGGCACTTAAAATGTGGTTGATAGGAAATAAAAATTTTCATTTCATTTTAATTTAAAGAGCCACCAATATCTATGGGCTGCTGTTTTAGGATGTACAACTTTAGTCCAGGAATGTAGCACAGTGGTAAAGCTTGTGCTCTGCAGGCATAGGGCCTTGGATTTAATACCCAGCATCATAACAACAACAACAACAACAAAAAAACAATATACAACTCTAGACCAATGGTTCTGCTCATAAAAACTATCTGAAGAAAGCTGTAAAAGAACAAATGTGTAATTACCAGAAAAGAATACTGATAATACAGTTTGATCAATAAAACACAGAATAAAACTCCAAAAATAGGATAAGTTCTAAGAGAAAGACAGTACAATGTGGTAGAAATGTTTTCTAAGGATAGGAAAATGTAAAGTTGCAAAAAATCTGGATTTCTAAAATTAAGATATAAATATTACTATATAGCAACTAACTGGTCTTATAGATAACCAACTCTTTGTGAAATATTCTAAATATGGAAATGGTGAACTTAAATCCTAAAATCTAAAATGTTTTGTATAATAAAATGTTTTAAGATCCTCAAGATTCTTACAAATAGAAGATGTTCAATTTAAGTAAAAAACTGATTTTTTCCCCTGGTCTGTTAGAAAAACAAGACATCAAGCATTTTCTTTTTATAGGCTTAAAACTTTAAGAAAATAAGATTTATAGACATTAGAAAATCTGTTATCACCATTTATCACATGCCATAATAATTTGAGAAAGCTGATTTTAAAAAGGCAAATGGCTGGATTCAGTCAAATTGAGTCACAAAGGTGATACCTAAAACACTAGCCTCAATGAAACAGCAGATTTATGCTGTCGTATCAAGGGGGAAAAACAAACTGCTTTGCCTAAAGTTTGACATTATTTAAAAAGTGATTTAAACTACTCTCTTACTTTTCTGTTCTACTTTGTTGAGGAGTACACAGGTTCTCAGATCCATCACTTCTCAATGACACGGCCAATGGAGACGTAGTTTCAGCTAGACCTTGTCTCCTCTGATGTTCAGCCATTAGAGCTTCAAGCTGCTTTCTTCTCTGTCGAAGCTCTTCCCTTAATATTTCATGTCTTCGCATGTCTGACCACAACTATTATTTTAAAAATCAGAGTCAAGTAAATATTTGGATTTGCTGTAGCCTCAAAGAATATTGTTGGTACTACAGAACTTTCTATTTTCACTCTATCCTTTTGATGATAAGATTTCTTTGAAGGTTAAAATAATATTTCAGTGATGATTAAGAAAATATTAGGTAATCTTTAATTGTTAATGAAAATAAGCAGCACTCAAACTTCAGGAACTATTTGAGAAAAGACACAATATTATCTACAAATTATATATATATATATATATGTAGTGCTAAGTGATTAGTCTTTCCAATTGAAACAATTAGTGTCTGCTGTAACTAAACTCTTATATGTAATTCTGCTAAGTATTTGCTAATAAAGAGCATGATTATTTTGAAACAATGCCAGCATAATTATTTTTTGTAAAAAAAAAATGTTTTACTCCACGGCTGGGGTTGTATCTCAGCTTGCCTAGCATGTGTGAGGCACTGGGTTCAATTCTCAACACCGCATATAATAAAATAAAGAGGGGCTGGGGTTGTGGCTCAGTAGTAGAATGCTCACCTAGCACATGCAAGGCCCTAGGTTCGATCCTCAGCACCACATAAAAATAAATAAAATAAAGGTACTGTATTCAACTACAACTAAAAATAAATAAATAAATAGATAGATAAAAGTCCATTGATTAAAAAAAATAAATAAAAAAATAAAAGAGGTTTATTCCAAGTAGAAGACACAAAACACAAAACATGTTTCAAGTAGAATACTGCCAGCATGTGTAAAGCCTTACATTCAATCCAACAACTGGTAAAACAAAACACCCTATGTTTCACAGATACTGTTCTCCATCTTATGATGTGTCTTAAGACCAACTCAGGAAATATAATGAGTTTACCATACCTCATTATCTACTACTGAAGAATCTTCAGGTTCAAAAACAGATTTGCTTGTATTGGTCTCATTTTCATTAGTGGTTGGGGTTGAAGTAACAGCTGGTATGTATTTTTTTGTGGGACAATTACCCACAGTAGTGGCTGACAGCTAAAAAAGAATTGGCAAAACTATTATGAGGTATTAAAGTAATAATATTATTTTCATAAAAGTAGTTAGTATACTTCTTCTCTGGATCTTTAGTGACATGTTTAATCTGTTATTACTAGACCCCAAATGCCATCATCATCTGAAAATAACATATAAAAACATAGGCTAACGTTGAAAAGTAATACTCAGGAACAACAAAAGCAATAGAAATCAAAATTCTGTATTCCTAACCTAACACTGTCACATATTCCTCTGGATATTATTTAGATTGGGGATAAAGAACAAAAGGATTAGATAATGTAGAAAAGGTAAGAGTTTTGAAAATAAATGATTTTATCAGAAACATATATGCTTTGGTATGTTTCCCTTTCTTCAAAAACAAAATATAGGGGCTGGGGTTGTAGCTCTAAGGTAGAGCACTTGCCTAGCATGTGTGGAGGAACTTGGTTCGATCCTCAGCACCACATAAAAAATAAAATAAAGTTATTGTGTCAACCTACAACTAAAAAATTAACGTTATATATATGTATATATATATATATATATATATATATATAGCTAAAAATAAAGCTAACCAATAAATTTTATGAAAATCTCAGAAAAGAATTATTATACCATTCTCATATCAATCCTATACCTGATTATCTGACATGACCAAATATAGCTTATTTTCTGTTCAAACTGAAAGACCCATACTATACAGTACTATTTAATAAACAAAAGCATATATATTTTATTTTCACAGAAAACTTATAATAAGGACAGATGCAGTGGCACATGCCTATAAAATCCCAGCAGCTGAAGAGGCTGAGGCAGGAGAATTACAAGTTCAAACCTAGCCTCTCAGCAACTTAACAAGGCCCTAAGCAACTTAGTGAGACCCTATTTCAAAATAAAATATAAAAAAGGACTGAAGATGTGGGTCAGTGGTTAAGTGCTCCTAAGTTCAATCCCTGGTACTGGAAAAGAAAACTTATAATGATTTAAAACCTTTATTATGTAATCCTAGGCCAATAAAATATGAAAATACTGGTTTATAACTGCAAAGTTCAAACCAGAATATTTTAATATAATAAACACTTAGAAGTAGTCAGTCATGTTCTGAATCAATGGCTTATCAGCCCAGTAAGAATAAAAATGATTAATTCCCATGATTTCATAGTATATCCCCAGCCCATTATTTCATCAATTTCATTAATTCCCAAATTAGTAGATATAAATCTGATACATCAGTACTAGAAAAAGGCAAAGAACATTATCAACTGACATTAGTTTTTTTTGGTTGTTGTTTTGTTCGGTTTTGTTTTTCCAATACTGGGGATTGAGCATAGGGCCTAGCGCTTGGTAGGCAAGCATTCCACCACTGAGCTACATTCCATCCCTAAACTTTAGGTTTTGAACACCTCTTTGCCTAAGCAAACTGAAAGAAATAATTCTTAATTACCTGCAGGTCAGGACATGCCTTTTGCAAAGCTTGAATTTTCTCTTGAATCTCAATCAGTTTCTTTCTTTCTTCCTGCAATTGTTTTAGCTCTCGCTGTTGTTGCTGTAGTTTAGCCTCATAAAATTTCTCTCTATAATTAAATTGACATTTTATTTGTAGACTCCCAATAAAAGTTGATGACAACATTAAGCAAAATAAAACAAAATACCTAGCCAAGAACTTTCTCTGTTAACAAGCACTAGATTTTTACTAAGTAAAAGCCAAAAGCTTTGCATACCTTGCCTTTTCGTTTCCACCAGTATCTTTCTGTGTTTTGTTAGCATTTCCTCTAGTATTATTTGAATTTTGTTTAGTGTCTTCTTCTGCTGGGTAGAAGTCATCCAAATTTGATGTATTGGCAGAAGTAACCCCTTGAGCTGCATCATCATCCTAAATAGCACAATTATATTAAAACATATCTTAGATATCTCTTGATATCTAGAGACATTATTAGATTCACACCTTACCAAATGCACTAGATCATAAAATTTTACATAACACAAATTAATGCAATAGAGAAAACACAATAATTTTTATAGAAAACTGAAGTTCATTCTCAACCAATGGTGAGGAATGAATTCTAAGACTAAATGAACACATTCAAAATATGGGTTACCAACTACTCAGTTGCTACGGTTTAAGTGTCTCCCCCAAGGGTTCAAGTACTGAAATTTAATCCCCACTATAAAGTATGTGAGAGTGAATACTAATCTCACTTTAGTGTTGAGAAGTGATTAGAATTAGATAGAGTTGCCAGGTAAAATCCCAATAACTAAATATTGGTGGGTTTATAGGAAAGGTGGAAAGACCAAAAGACACACATATGTGTTCCCTGTCACTTGCTATGTAACACTATGAATTGCCTACAGATTCTGTCAGCCAAAAGGCAACCATCAGATATGGGCTCTTAAACCTTCAGAACTATGAGCGAAATAAATCTATTTATTTCTATAAAGTTACCCAGCCTCAGGTATATCTATATAGTAACACAAGAGTAAGACAACCTAGTAATAACCAAAATTCTATTTTTTTTTTTTTTTTTTGGTACCAGGGATTTAACCCAGGGGCACTTAAGCACTGAGCCACATTCTCAGGCCTTTTTAAATATTTTTTTTTTTATTTAGAGACAAGGTCTCATTGAGTTGCTTAGGACCTCACTAAGTTGCTGAGGCTGGCTTTTAACTTGCAATCCTCCGGCCTCAGCCTCTTGAGCTGCTGGGATTACAGGTGTGCGCCAACAACTTGTCTTTTCTCATCTTGAGCAACTATTACTAGGAAGATATGAACTTTATGTTTTTTTCCAGTAATTATGATGTTTGAGATAGGATATTCTCACTATATTTGTATTTACTAAAGAGGAAAGAGAGAAAATGGGGTAATTTTTAAAGAGGGTCAGTGACAATGAATTTTGATTGTTTGAAATTGTTACTATAAAAATTTATCTATTATCAAGAGTGCCCAGCTCCACTGGTAATTTTTTTCTCCTCTTCATGTTCTGCAGAAAGCTAATCTTTGATACCCCTCAGCAACTTTGCATCAATCTAAACACTAACATAACCTATTAGTGATATTGATAGGAAGATGGAAAGAAACTGTACTGTAACTTCAGAAAAGGAGAAGCTGGATCACAAAGTATTTTTACAGAATAAAAAGTAGACAAACTAAAGCATGAGAAATAATGCAAAACAGAGCTTCCTGAAATTTCAGATGGTAGTATGAGGGTGCCTAAACAACTGAAATGATATGAACTACAGCATTAAAATAAAGCTGAAAAATTAACACACATTTTAATATACAATGCATCATAGACTGGAAAACAAAAGATAACAATTTCTGGAGGCTTACTGATACATTAGGCTTCATTAAGGCCTTACTCTAAGTTGTCCAGGATTTTAAATCAGAAAGACTAACAGTTTATATAAACATAATAACTATGTATGTTTAAACCTTCTCCTGTGTCCCTGAGAACCAGGATATAAATACAGGTATAAGAAAAAGAGTACTACATTCAACATGAAAAAAGACTAAAAACTATTAACATTAGATATAAAATGTTGGAAGTTTTAGATAACTCCTGTAAGAGCTCTCTTTCAGGAAGGGGCATTTAATCCTTCTGGTCTGCAGTTTTCTTATTTCTCATATATGTATTTCAAGTCTTAGAAAAGAATTCCATTCAATATAAGCCTGAAATTAAGCCATATAAGCCACCAAGTTATTCCTCAGTTCTTATCTACTATTTCCATACTTTTAAAGAAAACAATCTTAGAAAAAAATGTAAAATTAGCAAATGCAATATCTGAAATAGCATAACCCATTATTAGTATTTATTTTAGAAGTTTTTTTTTCAAATGGCAATATAGTCATATAATGAACTTCAAAAAGTAAGACATTTAGAAAAGTCTCATTTACAGCATTGTCTTCCAATTGATTCCATTCTCCATAGGCAATTGATATTATCAATTTGATTATACAAGCAAAAATAAATATACGTATGAATGTATACCTCCATATGTTTGCATACATGTTTACATGTGTTCCTGCACCCTCTTTTCCTCCACAGCTCTTCTTATAATAGGGAAAATCAAAAAAAGGCCAAGCCAATGCTACTAATGCTTAAATAAGCCACAGCATATAAAGATAATAAAATGTCATCAAAGGTATGGGGAAAAGGACTCAATCAAACATCACTACTCTGGAAAGCAATTAAACAGTATCCATTAAAGTTAAAATGTACATAAATGAGGCCACAGTAATTCAAATTTTTCATATCTACTTTAGAAAAACATAAACACAAAGAGACTTATAAAAAATGTTAAAGCTAGGAGCAGTGGCACATATCTCTTTTAATCCCAGCTATTCCAGTGGCTGAGGCAGGAGGAAATTGCAAGTTCAAGGTCAGCCTGGGCAACTTACCAAGACAGTGTCTCAAAATAAAAAATGCTGGGGATATGACACAATGGTAGAGTGATTTGCCAACTAGGCATTGAGGGCCTGAGCTCAATCGCTACTACAGAGAGAGAGAGAGAGAAAAGAAAAAGAAAAAAAGAGAAAGCTCACTGGCATTTCTAAATAGTGAAAAATTAGAAAAGTATGCGTTGGCAGGATGCTAGCTAGATTAACTAAAGTTAAGTTCCACTGATACTACAGAAAACTACGCTACATTTAAAAAGTATTATAAGTACTCTGTGTTAGGTATACTTGATTGCCTATATAATTATTTTTACTTCATAGTTATTTATATAATTATATAGAACAGTAAATGCTGAAGAGAGGTTTTCTAAGACATTGTAAAGTAGGAGAAAAAGCAAGCTATAAAATAATACTTAAGTGTATTATATGATTTGTAACAAATAAACAAAAGAAAATGATGTGCATTTTTTTGAATGATGCATACCAAAGTATACAAATGCAGAGAAAAGATCTAATAATATATAATTTGTAAATCTGTGTAAAGAAGTTGTGAATGAAAGTCAAGAGGGAGTTTACTAATAATGTATATTTTCTTTTAATGATGACAGCATACCCATTTTTTACTTGAAAATTCAAAGAAAGAAGCATTTCAAAAGAATAAAACATGAGTTTTTCACTCATGATGAAAACCATTTTTCTATACCTTTATTAATGTGGTTAATGTTAATGCTGTATCCTCCATAACTTTCAAGCTAAAACTCAATGAAAATAAATCATTCAGTTTTTTACCAGAGATGTGAAAACTGCTGATATTACCCTAAGTTATAGATATCACAAACAAGTTTTTTGGCCAAAAATCATAACACTACTTTAGAGTCTCTAAAATATTTCTATAGTGATTACATTACTAGAAAAAGTTTAACAATACATAAAAGATGGAAAAGATAAACAGGAATGATTTTAAAAGTCAAATCATTTTGGTCACTCTAGATAGATTATATCCATTCTAGTAAACTACAAAAGGCAAATAAGTCTTTGGACCATATTAGTTAATAAAGAAGTATTATTACTTACACAATTAGACATTCGTGTATATATAGACTACCTTTTACAATCTATGATTAGTAGTTCCAACTTTGTTGTTGGCATGGTGGTGCACACCTGTAATCCCACCTGCTCAGGAGGCCGAGATTGGGGGGTCAGTGGTTTGAAGATAGCTTAGGCAAAACCGTGTCTCAAAAACTAAAAAAGCCAACAAAACAAAATAGGCTGGGCATGTAGCTCAGTGGTAGAGCACTTTCCTAACAGAAAATTCCTGGGTTCAACCACCAGCCATGACTGGGGGAAAAATAAAAATCCAACTTTAGTTGGCTTTACTAGGATAAAGGGATTTTTCTTCTTTACCTCAAATGTGTTGAAATCTCAGGCTCTGGTATCAGGAAGTCTAAATTCTGGTCCTGAAGTTGTATAACATTGGGCAATTAAAACCTCTTCACAAGGACTCTAACTCTGGATTGACTTGTGACTATGGGCCAGTACTTTTTTGTGGGGGTGGTGGTAACTGGGAATTGAACCCAGGGACACTTAACCACTGAGTCACATCCCCAGCCCTTTTCTGTATTTTATTAGAGCCAGGGTCTTGCTAAGTTGCTAAGGCTGGCTTTGAGTTCACAATCCTCCTGTGGCCTCCGGAGCCACTGGGATTACATACATGTGCCACCACACTCAGCTTAGGTTCTTAATTCTTCCTGATGTTCAATTTCCTTATTACGAATGTAGACGATTTATTTCATAGAATTATATGAAGAATAATGTAATGATGTGTAGACTATAATTGCTTGATTTAATCCTTTACTATCCAAACCAAGATAGTTTTGAAAATGAAAGGAGAAACTTGATAATAATTATGCCAGAAAAGAGATATAAATTGGTGTTTTCTCAGGCAAGCTAGAATATCCAGTTATAGTTAATAAAATTTTCTTTGGTATAGAGGCTATAATAGATTTATGTGAATTCTAGTCTAGAGTAGGAACTTAAAAATATCTTCCAAAACTGAGGAGTTTTGCTCTTCCTTTATCTCATCCTCTTTTCACTTGGTTATATATATAGCATGTCTCAGAGAATGGATGATAGCATATAACAAAAAAGTATGTCAAAAGGTCTTTGGGAAAGGACCCCATGCCCTGAAAATGGTAGGCTGGATTTGGGAGTGATTGCCAGTAGTGACTTAAAAACTCAAAATTTAGGTAACCCAAGACCATAGAGGCCCAAAATACCCAGGAAGATACTAAGATTCAGGAGAGCTTCTGTCTCCCATGCTAGGTGGGAACAGAAACAACATGGGTTGTCTTGACCTGAACTCTTACATATGGTGACTGAGTTTAGCTAGTCCAAATTGTGCTATAATACATGTAATATACACACCCAATTTTAAAGGCTTATCACAAAAAACAATGTGGAATATTTCATTAATAATTTTTAATACTGATTACAGTTAAAGTGATAATATCTGGATATACCAGACTAAATAAAATTTATTATTACTTTTTTTTTTTTTTTAATATTTATTTATTTTTTTAGTTATTGGCGGACACAACATCTTTGTATGTGGTGCTGAGGATCGAACCCGGGCCGCACACATGCCAGGCGAGCGCGCTACCGCTTGAGCCACATCCCCAGCCCTATTATTACTTTTTAACTGTGAAAAAAACCCTCTTCAATCTCTTTAATACCTATCTCATTTGAATGTTATAAAATCTACATAAGGCTAGTGGCATAGGCAAAAACAAAAACAAAATAGTCTGGTTTGTAAATAAAGCTATACTAGAAGACAACAATGCTTCTTTGTTTACGTAAGGCTGCTTTTGCACTGTAAAGTTGTGAAAGAGATTGTATACACTATAAAGACTGAAATACCTACTAATACCCCTCACAGATGTCTGAGGTATATTGGGTAAAATACTAAGCCTTGCATATAAGAAACAAAATTACAGTGGGGGATGTAACTCAGGGTACAGTGCTTTCTAGCATCTTTGAGGCCCTGGGTTAGATCCCTAGCACAAGAGGAAAAAAATGCATCTCAGTATAATTATACCAACATAATTATTAAACACATACATAAACTTTATAAAGACTGTACTCACTATTTAGCAAACATGCAGTATTTACCTGCACCATAGCAACAAGATCTTGTAGCTGTCTAAGTTTCTGTTTTGCAGCCATAAGTCTATTAATCTTCTGTTCAAATTCTGTATCTTCTGGAGCCTCATCAACCAGACTGCTTCTATGACTAGACAATGAAGCTCCACTGACCCCCTCCTCTTCTGCTTCTTCCTCCTCTTCCTCATCATCTTCACCTTGAGTTACATGCATTCCCTGTTCTCCTTCTCTATTGTATCGACAATCTATTAAAAACATGTATCATTCAAATCAATAATTTTAAAATAAACTTGAGTATTAATAAAAAAAAATCCACTTCACAGAATAATATGGCAAAATTATCTGTAAATGCAGTCAATCATACCTAAAGGAGGCATGTTTAGAGCTCTAATGTTGGCAGCAGATCTGTTGTTAATTTCACAATTAGAATTCACTGATCTCCCATCTCTATTATTAGAAACACACTGTGTATTACTATTACTATTTACTTCATTCCAGGTAGCAGCTACTTGTGGATTTCTGCAAGAAAGAAAACAACCTAAAGTTATTTAAGTTGTTTTTTTTTTTTTTTTAAGTTTCAGAGTGGTAGTAAAACAGCTGCAAACTAAGAACACAATTAACTATTTTATTTAAGTTCAAACTAAATAATGTGCTTCTCTTTCCCATTAGCTTTTTGCATCTATATTATTAGGAAATTTGTGAAGAAAAACATCGAAAATCAAAATACACCTAAAAATAAAGAAGTAGGAAAATGCTAAGTTAAATACCTCTTATGATTACTTGCATTTGATCTAACAGCAAATTTACTAAATTATTAAATAATTCCCTATTTTTCTTTATAGAGCAGGGATGATTATACTAATCAAAACAGTAGATTTGCAAGAAAAAAAGCTTAAATAAAAGGTAAATAGCAATTTATTAAGGTATTTTCTCCCTACACTGAAAATATTAGGTTTGAAAACCAATCTTAAATAAAGTTCTTACCGAATGTTAGTAACAGGTTCAGAATTTTCATGCTCAGAATCGTATTCTGACTCTTCAGTTTCTTCATCTTTTGTGTTTTCATTTACAGCATCTGTCATCATATCTGATGTTTGTTCATAATAATGGACTAATTCTCTTAATTCATTCAATCTCTTTCGAACTTCATTTAACTTCCTGATAAAAATATATAATATTAACACCCATCTTAACAGAACAAAAAAAAAAACCAAAAAGCCCACACATTATTTTCATATAACAGCAGTCAGCACAAAAACATTTTATACCTAGTCAAATACCTAGGGAATCTCATGAGTTTAATAAAGCAATAAGTTTAATCTCAAGTATGGTTCCCTCAAAAATCTCATGACTTTATTTTCTTGTGTTAGGAACAAAGGCATAAAAAATCCATTTCAATTTAATTGTTCACTTTAAGCAGGTATAAATGTTGACAGCTAAAAACTCATTGTCAAAAATACTTCTAGGTTTCTTTATAAGAGTCAAAAGCATGAAGTATTATATTAAATACTCAATTTAAATACAACTTCTCAGACAAATCAGCTATACAGATATTATTGAGCATTTACAAAAGATTACCAACTAGTCTACACGTAGAGATCTATAAAATGCATGCTATTTTCACCAAAATTAAATTTGTTGAATTTTACGAAGTGCCAGGAACTATGCCAAGGTTTCTTAATCTTTAAAAATCTTTATAAATTGAAATATCATATTCTATGCCATAAATACAATTCCTATGTGTCAACTAAAAACTGTATTTTAAAAAATTTAATGTTATTAAATATTAAGCCTATTTTGCAGATGCAAAAACAGCCTTAGTAATGGTAAGTAATTTGTCCAGTGACATAGCCTTGTATGATATAATTTCAGACCTGAGCTCGATCATTTGAATATAGAAATATTTTAACTACAGTCCTAGCTATTTCTGATCCTTTCTTTAAAAACAAGAAAAACATCAGCTCACTGAAGTTACCTATTTTATAATGTCATATTTCTCTTCGATTATTCATAGAATGCACATATAATAAATTCCTTTTTACCATCACACTTTAGTATGCTTATTAAATAACTTTAGTTTCTCCAAAATTTTTTAACACAAAGGGGAAAAAATGCCAAGTTTATCCCCATTATTTAATTCTAATTTATGTGAATAAGGATTATAAAAAATATTTTACTGTAGTTTTTCAGTTGGGTTCAGATGGCCTTCATTTTCATTCTCATTCTGAGGACCTAGAGAAGTGGCAGGATAAGAAACAGATGATACAAGGCTGCTGTTGGACTCTCCATTGACAACTGGTACCAAGCCTACAGGAACAGAGGGGGCTGAAACTGTACTTCTCTGATCTCCACTTCTCTGTGGAGAGGCTGAAGAAGGCACAACTATAAAAAAGAAAAATATTACCAGTTACCATAAACAAACAAGGCACCAAGCAACTCTTATTAATAATATGCTTAGAGATAGACCAAAAAGTAAACATCATTAACATTTTAAATTTTATAGTTAAATTTTTGAAACTTGAGTATATATTCAAGTAATTTGCTTATTAATATACTCCACAACCAAACACATCAAAATACACACAGAAAATACATTTTTATATCTTTTACATTATAGTTACTGGGCGACTGGGGTTGGGGGAGTGGACAAGATAGACACTGATAAGAATCATGATGTATTCTGGAAAAATAACTAGAAGAGTACTCTGCTAAACTTAGTTCTGGAGTTAACAGGTCCCCTAGGTATGATGTGCATTCATAATCTGCAAATCATAGGGAGCCCTAACTAATTAGGTCTTATGAATACCAAGATTGAGCTTTATTCCAGGAGACAAAGTAAAAGTGCTAACGTGACTGTGATACATCTATACCATGAAATGCTAACTGGAAAACCATTTTTTAACTAGATAAAAATCAATCCTGTAAAGTCTTTGAACTAATCTAATTACTTCTCTGTCCACATACATCAAAGATATTTTATGCCTCCATGGACAATTAATGAAGACATAATCTTTGCGATTCTACTTCTATCACTTCAAAACTACTGTCATTTCTCTTAAAAGGACCATCATTGTTTACTACTCACTTAAATAACACAATTACTATAGCTGGGTTCTAGTAGTCTTTTTACTCTATTCTTTAACCTTTCTAACTGTTGGTGCTGCCCTCACACTATTTTCCAATGGGAAAAAATGACCTACTAAAATCATTAGCACAGTACTACTTTCTTTATATGTATAAAACTGACCACAATGACATGAGCACAACTTTCAAATTTTAAGTTTTTCTTAGCTGTTTTCACCTTTTCTTGTATAAGAAAGGGATTGGGATTATACTCTACTTAGAGGAAGAGGGGATTAGGAGAGATCAGGGAAAAGGAGTATGTTTCAGGGCAGAATTAGTAAGGTTCATTTGGAGGTGGCAGAGAAACAGAAGATGTGTAGAGAATAAAGAAAAGGACTTCAGAGATGAGATGTTTTTATTGCTTATCTTTAATTAGATATACCGGAATGTTAAAGAATAGAGGCAAGTTAGATTTTCCCCTACTGACTTCAATTTCCAATGCTTTACCCCTTATTACTACTAGCTGTGTCTCCAGAGGCAGGATCCAGGTTTAAAAAGGTCTGAGGACAGCAACTGAAGACTAGTAACTAGGTTGGAATTAGAGTAGATAGAGTGTGCACTTTACATGCACAAAGCCCTGGATTCAATCTCCAATATCAAAAAGAAAAAAAAAAAAAAATTAGAGAAGATAGTTTCTATAGTCACAGCTCTTTGATATGGCTATTTATAATATTTTTAAAAAATGAACTTAAGTACAGTAGTTATAAATTGGAGACTTTCTGCTCTAAATCATATACTACAGAAATTTTTCATATCTTTGTGTGTCTGTGTGTCTTAAAAACTAAATCTGCTTAATATTTTCAAGGTTTTTATTTAATTCAAGCTTTTATTCTTTGCAGTTCTGTAGATCAACCCAGGGTTTCAAGCATAGCATGTAACACAGGCACTCTACAGCTACATCCGCAACCTATAGTTTTAAGATTTTTAAATCAAGGCACAAATTGGATTAGTACTTCCTTACAAAAACTCTTGCATACTAAAAAACGCAGTACCATGTTGAAGTATCAAATAATTACCTTCTCTTCTACCTTTCCCTTATTAAAATTCTACCTATTTTTCAAGGCCCAACTTTATTCTTTTTCTTTTCTGAAGATTCACCATATATTTGGCTTTTATTATATATTGACTTGTTACTTAAAAACTTTTTTCACACTCCAGTTTTATCTTCCTGGCAAAATTGTAAATTTCTGAGAAACTGTATTCATTTACTCATCAAACACTATTAAGTGCCAGCAGATACATGTTGTCTATATAGTAATGCTAAACCAGATTTACTTACATGATGAATTGTTCAGATGCTGATCTCGAAGTGTATGAAGTTCTCCAAGTAACTTGTCCATTTTTTGTTTCTTTTCCTGCAGCACTCTCATTTTGCTAAAAAGTTGAACTTTCTCATCAGGCAAATGATCTGAAATTGATGGATTCCTGCTCTGGGAAACCTCCCTAGTTAAAGAAAGACTTTCTGCCTGTCTTCTATTGTCTGGAACAGCTGGAGGCTTATTAAAAAAAAAAAAAAAATAGAATTAAGGCAATTAAAAGTTGCATTCTCATCTTAAAAATATTTTTTATAAGAGGTATCAGTGGGCTTCCATTTCTACTCCCAAATTAAATGCTATTTTCTGATATGCCACCACAACACATAAATGATTTCATATACATATGTAACCATACGGTGGTCCTGGGTTCACTGGTTATCATTATTGTCTATATTTAAATAGATGCTAACAATGCCATATTTTACATAGAATAAACCTTCAAATATCTTTTTCTTATTTCTGCTTAGAACCACCATTACAAGCTTTTAATTTCTTAACTATCAAATTTTCCTACACTTTTTTTGGGGTGGTGATGGTGGTAAAGGGAATTGAATCCTGGAGTGTTCTACCTCTGAGCCATATCCCTAACTCTTTTTAAAAATTTTAATTTGAAATAGGGTCTTGAATATGCGACAGGCCTTGAACTTGAGATCCTCCTGCCTCAGCCTCCAGAGTATCTAAGAGGTATGCCCAGTCGTGTGCCTGGCCAACTTTTTTTTTTTTTAATTATGAAACATATCAAAAATGTACTAAGGCTTAGGGAATCATACAGTAGATACCTACCAGTGAGCCTCATCATATTTCCCCACATTTGTATCCATTCTTTTTATTTTTTATTTGGCGGGGGGGGGGGGCACACCAGAGATGGAGCTCAAGGGCACTCGAACACGGAATCACATCTCCACTCCTATTTTGTATTTTATTTAGAGACAGGGTCTCACTGAATTGCATTAGTGCCTTGCTAAGTTGCTGAGGCTGGCTTTGAACTTGAGATCCTCCAGCCTCAGCCTCCCAAGATACTGGGATTACAAGCATGGGCCGCTGCATCCAGCCTCATTCTTTTTACTTTTTAAGAGAAATATAACATCAAAGACACTAAGCTAAAGCTCTAAGTACTCTTCCCCAATTTCACTGCCCACTCCAGATGTAACCACAATCTGAAATTTGTAACAGCTATGTATATATCCATAAAAACTTACACATTTTAAAATATAAAATAAGCAGTATCCTTCTTAAATTTATCAGTTTTCATTCATTAGCTCTATTTCATTTATTCAAATTACTATCAAAATTTCATGGAATGTATATATTATACACATACATATATATTATTTATTAACTCATTTTGCTAGACATTTCTTTTGGTTCTGTTTTTTTGCTATTAGTACAATACTACCATGAACATTTCCTATATTTACCTCCTTGTAAACATCTGATTCTTTAGGGTAGATCATGGCAGGGTCATTAGAAAAAATTTACTAAATATTGCTAATCAACTCTCCAAAGTAGTTGAATCATATTCTTTTATTTTCACTTGATCAATCAGCAAAAAGACCAAAGAGACAATGCACCTTCAATTACACATATTTCCAGTGGAGAGGTATTAATTTACCCTATTTACCAAAGCCCACATATTGAAAATATGCATTTATATCATTATTTACAAAGTTCTCATATTATAACACTATTAATTCTCAAATTAAATTTAAGAACTTTCTTAAAATTGTTAGCAACTTTTACTTGAGATTCTCCTGTCTCAGCCTCCTGAGCCCCTGGGATTATAGGTGTGTATCACCAGGCGTGGCAAAATTGTTAGCAATTTTAAAATGCTCCAAGGACATTGACTTGAATCTAACAGAAATCTTATTGGTTATGACCTTATAGTCTTCTGGGGCAGGGGGTGGGGAAGGAAGTATTATCTAATAACAGAGAAAAAGAAAATTTCACTTAGCACTTCATTCAAAGTACATTTTGCTCTAATTTGGTGTTCTTCAAAGTTTAGTCTCCCAGAACAGCAGCAATAAAATCATGTGGAGAAAAGCCCACTCAAACCTTATGAATTCATAATTTTGGAGATAAAGGGACTCCAAATGTGATGTTTATGTTTATTAAAGTCAGAAAACCACTGTTCTAATGAATGTGATTTTAAAATCAACCATGCAAAAAACTGTTACCTGAGAATCACGAAGCTGATTATGAAAACGCTGAATTAAATCATTTAATTCTTCATTTAGTTCAGATGTTATACTGACTCCAGATAAGCTACCTGTAGTTTCTCCAACTGAAAAAAAATTAATAACTATTCATTAATATAAATAAATCAAACATTTTTTAAGTTCTGAGAAGCTAAACATAAAGTGAGGGAAAATTCACCTAAAATAATGTGAATTAATTAACCTTCTTATTTATCTGCCAAATAATCCTTTTATTATAAGTGTCTGTCTATTCTAAAAATAAAGGACAACTGCAAAACTGTAGTATAGTGCCTCATCTTTTTCTGACCCAACATACAAGGAGTAATGGTGTTATAACCCAATTAAAAACCTGTGACTCAATGCATTAGGGGTGGAGCAGGTTTATCCAAACAACCCATCTTTATCTCTACTTCTAAATTTCTTTCTCTCCTGGAAAAATAAGAATTTCAGGGCTGACAATTCCACATATATACTCCAAACTCTACATGACAAATAAAGAAGTTACAGTCCAGTAACTAGTGTATACCTTGCAAAATACTCTTTCCCATGACAACTGTGCTGCTTCTCTTAAACACCAGAAGATTAAATAGTGTAACTCTGGCTTTTCATCAGTATCCCTCTGAAAAATCTCATACATACAGGAGCAAATCTATTTAAAAATACTACGCTAAAATTCTTTTTGTAGTATTGTATAAAATAAATTCAAATCCAAATTCCTATTCATTCTATTCTTGTTCCTTGCCTTGTGATAGTTTATTTTTTAAAAGATACTGTGTGTTTACTTAAAAAGGTTCATATTTAGAAATATGAAGAAGACCTCTGGCCTAAAATTCAAAAAGATCTGACTCTTTCTGTATAAGCCTAGGGAAAAAAGAAACTTTGATATAAAACAAGAATAAGAATAAAAGTTTTAGGTATGGTTATAGTTTGGATGAGGTGTTCCGAAAAGCTCAAGAAAGTTTCGGAGGTGGAATAATTGGGTTGTGAAAAGCTTAACCTAATCAGTGCACTTATTTCCCTGATACAGATTAACTGGGTCATAACTGGGTGGAGGAGGTGGGTAATTGTGAATATGCCCTTGGGATATATATTTTTCCTCGGTGGGTAGAGAAGTCTTTTTGCTTCTTGGTTCCATTTTTCCTAGCTGTCTTCCTCTGCCATGCCCTTTCACCATGATGACCTGCCTCACCTTGAGCCCTGAGGAAATGGAGTCAGCCAGCCATCTATGGACTGAGACCTCTGAAACCCTGAGACCCAAACAAACTTTTCCTTCTCTACATTGCTGTTGTCAAATCTTTTGTAACAGCAGCAAAGAAAGCTAACTAAAACAGGTACTAACCTACAATTCTATCATAATCAAATGAGATGATGTAAATATTCAAAATTAATGTAACTATGAAGGGAAGTCTTTAAAGTCTGATACTTCAAACTTTAAAATATTTAAAGAGTTACTTCTTAACTAGGATTGTCTTCATATTGAAATAATTTATTTTCCAAAATTATGTACTTTCTAAGTATAAATATAAATACAATGGTACCCTGGATTTTATGAGGAAAAATTAGTATAATTATTAATACACACAACATATATTATAAAAGTGACTTAAAAGTCATAAAGATCCTCATGAAAATATAAAATTAAATAAGATATAACAACAGTGATCAGACAGCTGAGTTGGTAGGCTAGATCTGGAGAGCAGTATAAATTAACTCACAAAACAAGTAGTCTCGGGACGTAAGTTCACTAGCAAAAATGAGGTGCTCAAAGGAAAAAAAATATTAGAATGTAATGATAGAATACTCTATTAGGAAACATAATTTAGCCACTAGAAGAGTGTGTCATAAACTCATCACTTTTTACCCCCTAAATATACACAATTATTATTTGTCAATTAAAAATAAAACTAAAAAGATAGCCTAACTGAACTTAATTAAGTAATTATCTTAATTTAACAAAAAAAAAAAATAAAAACATTCAGGTGAAGGTAATGAGACAAACTACAATACTAAATACTAAACAATTCAATAAAACTTTCAACTAAATGATATATAGCTATGATGAGAAAAAGAAGAAATGAACATTTCTGAGTCTCAAGAAAACTAATATGAAATTATACTTGAAAAAAGCCAGTATACAAAATTGGAGATCTAATTGAAATAACTGAGCTACTACTAACATTAAATGGTAAAGTGCTCTATAAATTTATTATCTCACTTAAGGTTTTTAATACTTCATTAGGAGGCAAACAAAGAATGGCAATCCTAGTTGAATAAAGTACAAAAACTGGAAATAAAAGCATCAAGAGCCCTATCAATCTGAGGCACAAAAACAGAACTACAGCCTGTCCCTTTTACCTCTTAAGGGTACTCTCTGATGAAAAGGAGAGCGAGCTGTCTGTCTGCATCGTACAGTATGATGGCCAGGAGTTGTCCCTGCAACCTTTTCTGCATAACCAGAGAAAAGCACAGGATAGGGTAAGCCTCGTATGCAGGTTTCTAAACTAGTCAACAATCACAACCTGACTATATAATAACATCATCAACCTTGCAATGTAAGTGTTTATTGAGCCTTGCTTATAAAAACATATGAAGATTGTCATACCAGAATCATCCATCACAGCAATAGCTTGCTCTGCTTTATGCTGCAGAGCTAGAAGAGCAGCTTGTCGTCCCTGCAGAGCTCGCAGTTGCTCCTGCTGTTGTAACATCCTTTTTAATAAATCATGCTGTTTCTTCAAATTTTCTATCTCTTCCATAGGCTCCTGTTCAGGATCTCTGGCCTGGAAAATAAGAGCAACACTACTTATATCTATATTAAAATCCATTTTCCCCTTTTGACTACAAAAATGGCAATATATGTACATAAATAATACATTAGAATTAAATATGCAACCCTATATACAATTTTAGTAGACCTGAATAAAAAAGAATCAGAATAGAATGATAACATACAGATAGCCTGCCATGTTAAGAGTTAGGTAATTTCATAGTATAAGATCAGAAGCAATAGCTTATCATGAAGAGGAATTAACAAAAGGAAAGAAAGGAAAAAGACATACAAAACATAAAACCGAAAAATTGACAAGGGCAAGAGGAGTTACCTACACACACACACACACACACACACACACATACACACAGAAGAATGAGGGGAACCACAGCCAATAAAAAATTGAGAACAGTTTAGACTGGGTTAATGCCCAAAAAGACTCTGTAAAAAGGCCAAACTAAGAAATTTTCCGCCCCACTCTTGGAAGTGATGCTACAAACACAATGCAAGACTCAGAGGCTCTGGCAAGAGAATGAGAATGAGAAACACAATGCAAGCCTCAACACCTTAGCAAGATCCTGTCTCAAGATAAAAGAAATGGGGATATAGCAAAGGGGTAAAGTGCCCTTGGGTTCAATTTCCATCCCTAGTACCAAAGCATACAAAATAACACAATACAAAAAAAAAAACCAAAACCCTCAGACAACAAACCCACTAATTTCTTTCTAACCAAGGACAAAAACTTTAAAAATAAAGTTACTTGATAATTTTATGTAAAAAGGCTTTAATGTAACTGCATCACATTAGGCATATAAAACGCAGAAAATTGTGTATTTCGTATCATACCATTACATTTTTTTACTTTTAAATTATGCCCATTCAGCTGAGTCTGAGGACATAAAATAGAAGTAAATACTTACAAATTCCCCCAAAATGATAGGAAGTTATCATCCTGCCTAAAAGTAAGAGATTAAACAAGCAGCACTGATAAGAAACAATCAACTTTTAGACATTAATTTTAAAATCATACAAAATGTAATCCAACAAGAAAAAAGAAAAGTCAAAGATATGAATTTAAATATAACCCCAAAACAATCATTTTTAAGATAAATTATGCATGAAATATATATCAGTATTTTTTCGTCAGTGATTTACCATAATTTTTTTAATTTAAAAATTCTATGATTTTACCTAACATTTACATAAAATATTCACCTTTGTTTTATTTAGGCAATTTTAAATTTGTCTTGCTAACAAATTTTTGTTGGAGGTTTTGTATATTTTAAATAAGAAATCCTCGCCCCCTCTATAAAAAAGTTCAATGATTTAAAAAAAAAAAAAACATACTGATCTACTTTCCATATGTACACCTGAATTCTGGACAAATAATGGAGAACAACAGATGGCTCAAAGTAAGTTTCTTTCTGGCTGACATCCCTTCCCAGTACTATGTAAATGCCTCTTTTCTTTAACTCCACAAATAGAATGCATCAGTATTGTGACTAAGAATGCGTAACTGTGAAAACATTTTACATATGTGACTAAGAAATAAAATAGGAAATCGACTTATGATAAAAATATTTAATGTCCACATCAGAAGAGCCTGATCAGTGCCATATCTACTTATTCTGGACTATTTCTAGACTTTATGAACATAGGACAGAAGTAATCTATAATCTTGGTTAGCCTGCTATTTACTGAAGGCTTTTCTATTGTGAATTCCTAATAAACTACAATCCTTTTCAAAGTAACTACTGTTTACTCAGTTTTCTGCCATCCTACACAAGAGGAAGGATGTTATTTATATTTATATATTTATTTAATATATATTTGTTATTTATATTCATCCCTATTAAAAATTCATCTTCTTAGTTCTGGCATATTTCAAGACTTTACGTCTTGGGAAAAAACCTGAAACACTAGGAATAATTGTCAATAGTCCTCTCAGATTTGGTAAAAGATCATTTCACAATAATTTCAACAAAGATATTAGTAAAATGTAAAAAAAAAAAAAAAAAAAAAAGACCAAAAAAGGTACAACTACAACGATTTTCATATTTTTCATTAATCCAAAAATGAACTTCCAACAATTTTTTAAGTTTGTGGAATTCTATCACCATTTAATAACTTTTGTACCCATGTAAATAATATTTCAGACAGATATTTACAAAAGCTGAGTAAAAGGGAAGGAATGCTGAGAATAATAGATTCTGTTTAGCAGAGGAAAAAATAAAGTCAAATGTTGGGAATAAATTTTATCCTAGGAAATTAAAATCATTTTAGGAACTGAGTACTAATAAAACCACACTAGGATGACCTTAAGAATCAAGGTAAGAATCATAATTTAAAGACAGTCAAATTGTAATAAACTCCAAATTCACTTACAAAAATAATTTTCAAAGAAACTTAAGAATAGAAAAGAGTTTTCAACAACACATTATGGGGATAAAAACAGAGCTAAGATAAACTAGACTGTACTGTCAACTCTCAAATTTTGTCACTATTCAGGATAAAAGGAGACAAAAATTCCAAAGGATATTATTGTGGTTCATGTTCACTTTCTCCTCTTCACTGCTACTAGTTTTTAAAATAATCACCCACTTTACTCCTCTGTTGGGGCACCATTTACTTAATTAACACTTTAAATTGCAAGATCCCCATAACTGATTTCAAACTGTGTCCTCGAAGTCTACAAAACCAAACAAAAAACACAAACTGCCAAAAATCTAGAATTAAGTTTTATGATTTTTCAACAGTCATAAAAAGAAAATATAAATATCTACAAAATTGAAAAGAAAGATCCAGTTGGAGATAATAAGCTAGTAATAAAACATGAAATTAATATTGTATATACTCAATTATTAAAACACTTTGCTCTTGCAAAAGGATATAAATACTTCTATGAATGATATGATATTTTTATCCAATCTGTTTCAGGTGGAACTACATAAACTTATGTTCAATACCTTTATGCAAATCATAGAAAATTAAAAGAAAGAACATTTAAATCAAACACTGAAAGAAACCCAGCAAAAACATTAATAAACAAGTCTACTACATAATTACTTTTCCTTAAAAAAAAGGTTTCCAATAAAAACAAAAATATAAACAACTATAAAGCTTATCATTCTTACAAAGAGAAGAAAGCTAGTAGCTTGCTCAATTTTTTTCTTTCTTTTTTTTTTTTTTAAAGAAAGAGGAGAGAGAAAGAGATATTTTTTTTAATATTTATTTTTCAGTTTTTCGGTGGACACAACATCTTTATTTTTATGTGGTGCTGAGGATTGAACCTAAGGCCCCGCGCATGCCAGGCGAGCGCGTTACCACTTGAGCCACATCCCCAGCCCTCAATTTTCTTTTTCTTTAATGAATTACCACAGAAAATAAGACAAAATGCAAAGTATCATAATGCACAAACACTAATATCAGAAACAAAAGGTAACTGACTAATAGTCTGGATTTAAGAATGTTAGGTATTTTGAGCCTAGATAACAAAAAAAAGGAAATCAAATTACACTTTAAATCCTTTGTTAATGTAAATTAAAATCAGCTGCCACATATAATCCATGGGAAGGTATATAGGAAAGCAGAAAGAAATAAAAATGCAGAAAGAAATAAAAATGCTAAGGGATAGCATTTTACCAAAGCAAGTTACAGTATAATAATTAACCATATTAATAATTTATGTATTTAAGAGTAATAGCAAGAACAGAAAGCAAATAAGGAAAAGGAATATGAACAAAAGAGGTGCTACTTAGAGACTTCCCAAGTTAATATTGTGAAGTATACCTTTGAGGGAAATCCACGTTTTCGGCTATATTTCCTATTAGGCCTCAGTTCCCTGTCATTCTGAGGAGGTCTGTCACCTTTCCCTTTTGGACTTGTAGTAACGTCAATGTCTGAAACCTGTTCTCGTGAGGCTGAATTCCCTAGTTTGTCCTCAATGCACGGCCGAATTCTCAGACTAAAAGATGCCTCCTTTATTAAATAGTGTAGCATATTAATTTCTTAATACAAACTTCTGTTTAACATATAAGCCAGTCTTTTAAATAAACACAAAAGTTACCCAGTTCATCTTTAAAAAAGTAATCCACCCCCACCCCGAAGTGGCAATAAAATCAATCAGAACTTTACATTTTTTTAGACTAAATTGTTACTTATTATAATTAATAAATATCATATCCTAGCTACACAAAGCTGTTAAAGCATATTTTAACATTTATCCTACAACATATTATTAAGCAATTTCCATAATGTTATGGCTTTATGTTATTATGCAAAAAATTCTCATCATGGTGAACACTTCAAAAATTAGAATATAAACTATAATAATCAACTATACCATTTCCCACCCCTCTCCAATAAATTTTTTTATCCACATTGCCCCAACCCTTCCATTTCTGCTGGTATGTAAGGAAGAAATTATTTCCAGCACCACTGTACATAGAAAAACTATTTCCCCATAGTAGAATCCATTCTTCAACAACTGTTTGGATCAAGCCTTCTGAGCATTTCCTGGTGAAAGCAAGGTAGAGAAAAAAAAAAAAAAACAACATTCAAATTCCCTCTTCAAATCAGGAAGGGCAGGGAAGAGAAAGGAGGCAGATAAGAAACTATGCAGGTGAATACTAAAAGGAAACAAACTCTCAAATTCCTAATGCTGAATGGTATTTTGGAACAAATCTCAAAAACAGGAGAGATATATATATGGTTATCCTTTCAAAAGAAAATCTTTACTGGTTTTAAAGTTTACTAACGTATAGGCGTATCTGTTAAAATAAAAATGCTTGCAAGTATACTAGTTTTAAAGCACACTAACATCTGTGAGTAAAGTCTTTTCTACAAATCTTTCCTCAAAAGTTCTGTAAATTATTATTTTCCAAAGCATGGTTTCATGCTTTGGAAATTTCAAAACAAATTTCATTTTTCAATCAGAAATTACAGTATTGGCAGAAGCTGTGATGCACACCTGTAATTCCAGCAACTTAGGAGGCTGAGGCATGAGGTTCACAAATTCAAGAACAGTCTCAGCAACTTACCAAGACCCTGTCTCAAAATTAAAGATAAAAAGTCCTGGGGATACAGCTCAGTGGGAGAGCACCCCTAGGTTCAATCCCCAGTACCACACACGCCCACAAACAAAATACAGTATTTTTCTCACTATGAAAAACATAATAATGCAAATGCGGTCCTGTCCTATTTACTACTCTATCTAAATATTTCAATCATCTGGTTTTGCTACAGTACCAAACTAGGGCTTGAGAAATTAAAAATCCTAATATCCTTAAAATGATCCCCAATGGCAAATAACATGAATACTTTTCTAATAAATTATAGACTTAGTAATCATGAGTATCATTAGTGATTACAATAGCCCTTACATCCACAATAAATTTTAACGTATCCAATGCCTCCTAAAATTAGTAAAATTATACTTAAACAAATTAGAAAAACTATTTCTGAAAGCTAAAGTTCAGAAATTATTAAATTTTCAAATTAGCCATCAAAAGTACTTTAATGTGGGCTGGGGTTGTGGCTCAGTGGCAGAGCGCTTGCCTCACACATGTAAGGCACTGGGTTTGATCCTCAGCACCACATAAAAATAAACAAAGCAAAATAAAGATTAAAAAATTTTTTAAAAAGTACTTTAATGTAATTAAAATTTTTAAACTTCCATTAAAACATACATACAGCATTAACAGTTTGAGGGTTTCTTCCACTGGAATACTTTTCATTAAAGAACACCTATAAAATATCACTGTGAAAAATGGGGGGAAAGTTTAAACCTTCATTTCCAGCACTTTAATTACCAAAAAGCCGCTTACCGTGGTATCTGAAGCCTCAGACTGCACATCTATGTTTAGCGATGTGCTCTCAGCTACAGAACCAGATCCCACAGCTGAGTCTACAGTCCGAACATCCTCCTCCTCATTTTCTCTAGCCTGAAATATTTTAGTGGTATAAATCATACAACTATTAAAAAGGGCAGTAAAATGTTATAATGGGTGGCAAGATTTTTTGAAAATACGTTAACTCCTCTAGGATAGCATCAAAATGTCATCAGTGATATATTATAAAAATAACTCGATGTTATAAAAAGATATAAAACTTACAAGAATTTTTTGGAGAAATTTCATGTACGACTTTTCTTGTTCTTTAAGGTGATCTATTAGATGAGTAAGGCGTTCAACATTAGCAGATCTTTCATTTTTCTCCACAAGATCTTCTCGCATGGAGCTAGCTTTAGTAATATAGTCACGAATTTGAACAAGTCTACTTACAATCTGCAGGGGAAATATTAAAAAGAAAAACAGCACGACACACAACATGTAAAACTTAACATAACCATCTCAATAGCAACAATTTTACAGATTTTTATTTCAAAAAGAATAATGGTACATCTAAGTTTATTATATGAATCCATACATGCAAAAAGTCTGAATCAAATTTGGATTTTAATCAACATAATTGGCAAGATTAAAAATCACTATCAATTTAAAAATAAATTTCAAAACTATTTTACCTTATATTACTTGATAAATACTAGTTATAAAATAAACTATTATTTATACAAATTTCCTTCTAATGTTTTCTCTTTTATGCCTAAGTATTATACTTTGAAAAGTACTTTTAAAAATACTACCATTAAAAAATTATTAGCGAAAATCTATTAATCACATTGTTTCTAATCTCCCTTTACCAAAATTAGCCATTCAGTATTTTGCGAATAAAAGAAATCTTAGTGAACCTATATGCCATTTTTCCAATCATTTAGTTTAAAAAATATTTATTCTACTTTAAGTATATCTGGCAGATTGAGGAAGAGTGTCAGGGAAATACTTTAATTCCACATAACTAAAATTCCTATGTGCATAACTAATATAGTCCTTTAAATCTTAATGTTTATTCTTTGAGGTTTGTGAAAACAAGCAAAATAAACTAGTTTTATCACCTGGCTGCTCTCCATTGCAGGCTCTCCTCTACCATCTTCTTCAGAGACTTGACAGTTTTGCAAAAGGTCATTACTTAAAGCAGTAGCAAACAATTCTTTACACTGTGTTGATCCAATCACTTCTCTTTTTTGAAGACTTGCAGCCACATCTTTGCTCTTGTTAGTGTTAATCTGCATAGGCAAAAAGTTGAAGGGCTTTCGGTTTTCACTAAGCTGCCGTTTGTTGTTAGCTGCAGTGGCTCTACCTTGAGAATCACTTCCAATGCTTCTCTATACATGAAAATGAAATCAAATCACAAACAGTAATCTTTAACCACTTTTTAAAAATTCCAATGTTCTTAGTTTCACCATCAAGTATTGATTCAGCAGACATAGCTTTGTAATAAAATATTAAAAAGCTTCAGATCTACAAAATTTAATTAGCACTTCCTAGTTCTCATTTTCTTCAGACAACTGATAAATATGAACAAAATTAGTCTAGGTGACTTACTAGAACTTATGGGCCATATTAATACTGCTATTTGTTACTTCCTTACAGAATTTTTATAGTCTTTGGAACCAATGAATCAATGTTATTTAATATTAACATCAGCATAAACACCTATGTGCAGCACTGTTTTGAAAAAAGTATTCAGTTTAGTATCTGGTATAAATTAAGTATTAACTAATAATTACCCTTTTCTGTAAATGTGGAAACATTTCTCTTTAAAGCACGTGTGACAGTAAAACATTGGTCAAGAGTTCATTATCATGTCTATTGGCTTTTAGATCAATAAAAATTCATCTAAGCTTTATTTCAGTGATTATATAAATACAAGTCAGTTTTAACTATAAAATATTTTATTTATTTAATCATACCCACATAATTCATTCAACAAAAACATCTACAAATTCTTATTTTATCCATATTGCGAGATTCAGTTACTGTTGCAACAAAGCCATTCATAGATACTTTCCTCTTTTATAATTAAAAACTCATATTTCTATGAACTGTGTCTACACCTCAATCCATGGGTAGATATTCGTGCTAACCTTATTTTACCCTTTCCTGGTCACAGATGACCTGGAAAAGAAATACATATCCAATTCAAATTGGCATAATTGTATTTTAGGTAATCTAGCACATCCCACACTTAACCAATAAATATGCTAAAGCTAAACTGGATACTTCCACTTACTTTTTTTTCCTTTTTTTGGCAACAGGGATTGAACTCAGGGACACTCAACCACTGAGCCACATCTCCAGCCCTGTTTTATATTTTATTTAGAGACAGAGTCTCACTGAATTGCTCAATGTCTCACTTTTGCTGAGGCTGGCTTTGAACTCTCAATCCTCCTGCCTCAGTCTCCCAAGCCACTGTGATTAAAGGCATGCACCACTGCGCCTTCCCTTTCCACTTATTTAATAACAATTTTATTCAGTTAGTATCATGCAAAATTTAATTTCATAATGAAATAATTTAAATTAGTTATTAGCATAGTAATAAACTCCAGAAAGATGTCTTTGGCAAGCTGAGAAATAATACTGTTACCCACCTCTAGCAATTAGAGAAATGCAAATGAAAACTACAATGAAATTTGATCTCATTCCAGTCAGCATGGCAATTATCAAGAATACAATTAACAATAAATGCTGACAAGGACATGGGGAAAAGGGTACATTCCATACATTGTTGGTAGGGCTGCAAATTGGTGCAGCCACTCAAGAAAGCAGTATGAAAATTCCTCAAAAAACAGGAATGGAACCACCATATAACCATCAATTCCACTCCTCAGTATATACCCAAAGGATTTAAAATCGGAACACTTCAGTGATGTAGCCACACCAATGTTCATAGCAGCACAATTCAAAATAGCTAAGCTATGGAGCCAACCAAGGTGCCCTTCAACAGTTGAATACATAAAGAAAATGTGGTATATATATGGGATGGAATATTACTCAGCCTGAAAAAAGAAATTATGGCATTTGCAGGTATATAGATGGAGCTGGAGACTAACATGCTAAGTGAAACAAGCCAGTCTCCAAAGTCAAAAATAGACAGACTACTTTCTCTGATATGCAGAAGCTAACCCAAAATAAGTGCTGGGCGGTGCAGGGGGGGAGGGGACTTAAAAGAAAAAAAAAAAAAAGAATAGAAGATAGATTAGTGGAGTAGACAAAGGAGAATGAAGTGAAGGAAGGAGGGATAGGATGGGGAAAGAGAAATGAATCTGACCTAACTTTCTTATGTACATATATGAACACTACAGTGAATCTCACCATCATGTTAACCCATAAAACATTAATTAAAAAAATAAGTAAATGAAAGATCAGTAGAATTGAGGGAAGGGAACGGGGGAAGGAGGAGGGGAGGGCAAGAGGACATACTGGGGACTGAATTAGAACAAATTATATTCTATACTTTTAAAATTATGTCAAAATGAAACCTGTTGTCATGTACAACTTAAAAGAACCAATTAAAAACAAAGAAAAAAAATCTGTTTTCTTCCAAAAGACATAGCAGTATCATCGAGTATTAAAATTCTTTTTCCACAGCACAGAAACCTTTTAAAAAGTACAAGGCTCAATTCTTTTTTTTTTTTTTAATATTTTTTAGTTGTATATGGATATAATATCTTTACTTTTTTTAATATTTATTTTTATGTAGTGCTGAAGATCCAATCCAGGTCCTCACATATGCTAGGCAAGCACTCCACCACTAAGTCACAGCCACAACCCTCAATCTTTTATTCTTAAGAGAAATTACTTAATCAATTTCAACTATTTCCCCATAGATAAAACTTGATTTTTAAAATAATTCACAAACCTGATCTAAGTCACTGAAGTTTATCCGTTGTTTAAGTTTCTCTAATTCTGCCTGCTCTGGAACAGACATCTGAGTCATATATCTACTATGTGGAAACGTATGTGGAGTCTTTGTTCTTCGCCTTCCAACTCCTGGTGATGACTCCGGAGAAATCTCATTAGTTACCCTTTTATCGCTTTCTACACCAAACTTTTTCTTATTCTTTTCTGATGATCTATTTGCCTTCTTCTGCTGGCCACCCCAATCCTTTAAAAAAGTAAAAGCATAAGTTAATCTGGCCTCTATCAAATCAGGAAAATAATTTGATAAGCTTAAAAATCTTTGATCAGTCTTAGAATCTAAACATTTTCAAAAGCGTTTTAAATTTTTTTTTCTATTTATAAATTAAATAGTGAAATAAATTATAGACACATTTACTGGCCTCCTTTAGATTGAAGTCAGCATGCATAGTAAAAAAAGACAACAGATCTGAAATCAACCTGGGTTCTAAAATAATTACTGTTTTTTAAAGAAATGTTCTACTGGGTGATCCTAGGCAATTTATTTAACTTACTACAGTCTGCTTCCTAATGCCTAAAATCCTAAACTTTAAAATGGGATTAAAAATGAAATACATAAACATCTAATACAGTGCTTCACATTTAGTAAGCAATAAATGTAACTATTATTTTTATAGACAATGATGTATTATATAATACCACACACAGAATTAAAATATGCTTAATATTATTGCTATAAAATATTTTTATTAATCACACCCACATAACCTAATTCATTCAACAAAAATATCTATAATTCCTACCTTATCCATATTAGTTACTACTATAATGAAACCATTTGGGTTACTTTTCTCATTTATAATAAAACTTGCCTTTCTATGAACTGTCCCTTCCATATATAGGTATTCCTGTCAACCCTTTATACTTACCCTACTCTCTCCTGGCCATAGCTAAAGGGAAAAGAAATGCATATGCAATCCAAATTAGGAAAATCTTATCCCAAATTTTCAATTTGGAAATAAAAGATAACCAATCAGCATATAATTACAGCCATAACTGAAAACTTTAAAATGATGGGGCAATTACACTATAACTTCATGGACCACAGAAGCAGATAATCCTAGTCTGTGAAGAGAAAACTGGGTTAAGAAGTACTTTGAAGCTGGTCATGGTGGCGCATGCCTTAATCCCAGTGACTCAGGAGCCTGAGGCAGGAGGATTTCAAGTTTGAGGTCAGCCTTAGCAACTTAGCTAGACCCTATCTCAAAATAAGTAGTAAAAAAGGGCTGGGGATGTGGCTCAGTGATTAACCCACCACTGGGCTCAACCCCACCGATACCAAAAAGAAAAAAAAAAAATACTCAGAAGCAGAGTCACAGTAGAAAAAGAGTGGATTCTTGACAACTTTCCAGTTCCTTTTTCCAGTCCCTTCCCTAAAATCCACCTATATTCCTTCATACGGTTTCCATAAAACATCTTTATATCCTTATAACAAATCTCCTTTTTAGTTTAAGCTAAGTCAAATTGATTTGTTAGTTATAATAAAAGGGTCTTCAACTAATAATGAATAGTCCAGGGTACCTTAATATATTAACTAGCAATGTTAATAAAGAGTGAGTTAGATTTGGTGTGGAGAAAGCTGCATTTTAACATTAGAAATCAACAACACACCATCAATAATAAGATATCATACCATATTGTTGAGTCGGTCATCAACACTTTCATTGCTCCAGTTCGGTAAATCCTGATCATTCATTCCTTCTTCAAAAGGACCTCCTCCTGTGGCCATATTGGCTTTAACAATTAATTTCCTGAAAGACAAGTAAAAACTAAGGGTTTTAACACATATAAAACAAGTTTCAATGTTTAAATCATTTCATGAAACTTAGCATATAAAAGAATTTCTGAAACACTAATTTTGTGAAAATAAAAAGAAGCACTATCAACCACATGTTACAGACAACATCAACTTTATCTTAGGTGCTATCGTATATTATGTTATCATGAGTTAAGTAGCTCGAGTAGAGAAGGAAAAGAAACCCTCTGTATATCCATTATGTGCACTGCATGCTTTAAGATTATTTTAACTTACTCAACACAGTCCTAAAATGTAAAGAAAATAGGTAGGAAAGAACTTTTTAACAGAACCAGTGCACTGTTAATGAACTTGGCATAAAAGTGATACCACAAGAAAACTGGCATTAGTTTTATACCCAAGATCCAAAAAAGTTAGAACTACTCTGCACGGAACAAGGAGAAACAAGATATATCAGAACGTTAAGTAAGATGACAAGAAGGTGGGGAGACAGAAGCAGATCAACGTGGGGTGAAGGGCCAATAAAATCCAAGAGTGCAATAGCTAAAATACATTTTAAGAACAATGATGTAGTAGCCATAGCTTCCCTTATTTGCTGAAGTCTACCAAACTTCCCAGGGAGTTTTTGCTTGGGCATGTGAAAATAAGGACAAGAACTTAATGTCAGAAGCGAAGATGGTGGAGTGAGGAGCGCCTCGGCCATTTGGCCGTTTGGCCTCTGGGCCGGGGGCGTGCAGGCCCCCGGGAAGCCGACTGCGTCTGATGGACCATGTGAGAATTCTTGTCACACAGGATGAACACTTTCCTTACATTTAGGTGCTTTTTATTCATCTCAAAACAAAATTCTGAACTCAGGATGTGGCCGGTATTTCTATGTTGCCTTCTAGAGCGGGTAGTCCTGCTTCTTTTATCCAGCCACTTTCCCTACTGAAATATGGATACCTTTCTACACATTACCTCCATGGTTTAGATTGGAAAAGATTGCTTTTCTTTTGTTCCACCTTTCAAATTCAACACAGAAAGAAGCCCTTAGGGTGCAGTTATCCTGCTGACTTCTCCCGGAAGAAAAAAAGCAATTGATGGGTCTTCTGCAATTTGCTTAATTATCAAAAAATTATTTTGCAAGCTGAAGGCTGACGTTTAATTTGAAACAGGTGCTTAGGTTGTGGTATTTGTGAATTCTTAGCCTTTTGCTCCAAACAAGAAGACTAATAAATGGCAAGTATGGATGACTTCAGGTTTTTTAAAAAAATGTCTTCCAGTTTCGGCCACTATTATGATAAGCACATTTGAGACTGCAGCAGTAAATTCCAAATATTTGTTGTAATTTGAAAAGAAAAAGATGTTAAAAAGTTATCTATATCTCTATATCCTGGTTCATCTTGTGACAGATTTACTGGATAGAAATGAAGGTCCAGTTTTGCAGTTAACCCTTTGGTGTGATAAAGAAGCATAAAGACAAGATATCAAGATTGATTTCATATCTAATACCTAAAGAGAATCTGTACAAATACATATTTTTACATGTGTAAATCCACATTTTTGGATGAAAGGAGGGGTTTTTCTCCTGGAGACAGAACCTGTTATTTACTTTTTCAAGTCTTGGAACACTTGCTCTTTTTAAATTTTTTCATTCTTCTACAGAAGGACCAGATTGTGTAGCAGCTAAGTGAGTGCATGCTTACATTTAGTTAAAAGAATGGTAAAAGCGAACAACCCAGTTTGAGTCCATGATGGAACGCTGTTCACCATCCTAAGATGAGAGGCTGCTGTATTACAGTTTTATTCATCCTGTTTTCTGGAGTCATATAGCACAGTAGAGTTAGTTTTCCGTGTGGCCAAAACTGGAAGAAAAGTAGCACGAGTAGTTTTTTAGATAAGAAGGTGAGATGGACCCTATAGTATGACCTGCTTTGAACTTTGGACATAGAAGAGAAGAAAAAGATAATGAGAAGTTTCCATATAACTCTTTTTTCCTAAGAAAAAGAAAAATGTCTTATGTAGCACCATTTGACTTTTTTGGAATTTTACATTACATAGTTCCATTTTTTATAAAGTCACAAGTAACTCTTTTCTCAACCCAGATGGGTACTTGGATTTATTTTCCTAGGTGGTAGGTGTAATGTTAAACTGAAAAGGCTGGGACTCAGGTAAATTTCCCCAGTTGGAATTGGACTTTCTTGTTACCGAGTGAGTCTATCTCAGAACCAATGTTGTCAATCCACTGGTTGTTTCATTGTAGATTTAGAAGAAATTCAGGATCTGAAAAAAAAACCTCAAATAAGAAAAATAGTTCCACTAAGAAATGTGGATTTTGTGTTTCGTTCATTATAGATTGAGAAGAAATTCAGGGTTTGGGGAAAAAGAAAACAAAAACAAGAAATATGGATCTTCCTTCTTTTTTCCCCCTTTAACAGTTATATGATGAAGACTAGAGTGGAAAACTGTTCTTGCTTTCAAACAAACAGGAGCATTGTATGATATCAAGCCTTTCATAAAGAAGCATGGACACTTTATTAATGATTCTTAGTAGAGAAAGAATTTTAAACTTACTAGATGAAATTAAGAACAGGTAGTATAATTAGATCATCTTTGTTTTCTGGAATGGTTGCTGAGGGCCATGGGTGCGATGATGTTGGGAACACAGGGCAGATTTACCAAAAATTGAGAGTGACAGAAATTGCCAAAATGGGAAATGTTGAGCATTGTTATGATTAGATTGGTGAACTAATTTGATTTAGAATAAAAAAGCTTTTTCACAAAAAAAAAAAAAAAAAAAGAACTTAATGTCATATCTGGGTTAAAGAGACTAGAAACAGAAGTAGCAATGGTGAAAGCAAAGGTTCAAAAGCAGAAATGGTCATGAGAAAAAAACTCTAGATAATCTAGTAGAGGACTCTAGATTTCCAATAGCTATAAAATTATGTAGGAGTAGGAAACGTTGAGATAATTTTATCTAAAATTTAAGGGACAGGGAGAGCCATTAGACTACAAACAAAAGTAATAATATTCAAAAGAGTTAGATAATTTTACTATAGTCATTGTGCTAAAAGGGCAAAAAAGATTACAAATCCAAACTGCTTCAATTCTAAGATCCATTTGCTGCAGCATAAAAGCAAAAAGATCATCAACCATGACTAAACAGGATTAATTCCATGGATATTTTAATGCTAGAATGTCTATTAGAATACATATTACATTAACAGATTACATAACAAGTTAAATCTTCTCAAAATAAAGTGATGTGATAAAATTCAACAAATATTTGAAAATCTTAAAAACAACAAATACACTGAGATTTTCCTTAGTTATATATTAAAACTGTCTGTATTCTTTGAAATAGCATACATTAATAACTCTCCAAATAGCTGAAAAGAAGTATTTTTAAAACCAACAGTCAACATTATACATAAAATAAGACATGAAGGACAATCCTACAAAAGCCAAAATAAGAATGCCACATTCAATTCAGTAAGCACCATTTCAAAAGTTCTATGAAAAAAAAGAAAGAAAACATATGAATATTAATATTGAAAAAGGTGATATTCTTAAAGAACATGCATTAAAAAAAATTTAGAGAACTTCAAATTATTACCAATACCCACTCAAAAAAAAATAATGGAAGCCAGGTGTGGTGGCACATGCCTGTAATCCCAGACACTTGGAAGGCTAACGCAAGAAGATTCCAAGTTTAAGGCAAGTTGGGCAACGTAGCAAGATCCTGTTTCAAAATAAAATTTTAAAAAGTTTGGAGATACAGCTCAGTGGTCCAGCACTTGCCTGGCATCTGTGTGGGATCCTGGGTTCAATCCCCAGTACCACAAAAAAATATACAAATATATAGTTACGTACGCAGGGGAAATGATGCTACAGTAACATACACAAATTACCTAAGAATAATATAATTTTCCCCTTGCGAAGAAACACTATTACATGCTATAAAACAATATAATAGGTAATTAAATGGGAAGTCCAAATATTGCAATCATATCATTTTTCTAAATGCTTAATGTAATTCCAATAAAAATCCCACCGGGATCCTTCTTGGAACTTGAAAAATGATTCTAAAATTCATCTGGAAAAATAAATAAGCCAGAACAAATATTGGTATATGGAAAATAAAAGCAAGTAGAGGTCAGCAGGGTATTAAGTTAATTTAAGACATTCAACCATGAATATCTATATATAAATTAGTACCAGCTCAAGAAAGAAAATACTCAGCACCACACAGAATTCTTTACGTCCATTATATCACTTTATCCTCACAATTCTACAACATAGGATTATTCAGTTGATAGAACAATTTGCTAACAATTTTCAAGACTTATTAAGAACCTTGGTAATCTTTCTTAACTGGAATTCTTTATCTCAAACACAGAACATAGAAAAATGACTTCGGTTATTATTTTCTCATTTCTCCCATGGACATATCCTGATACTATTCCACAAGGAAGTTAATTTCATAGTAAATAATAAATGTCTTATTGCATTAAAGTTTAATCCTCCTAATGTTAAGAAAAGCTATCTTAAACCACAAATATAGTAAATAAATTAAAAACAGATAAGACAAAAATTCATATAAGCTAAAAAAACAAATAAGAAAATAGAATGGATTTAAAAATACAGACTTTACTAAACTTAGAATACAGAGCAAGGCATGGTGGCACACTCCTGTAATCCCAGAAACTTAGGATGCTAAGGCAGGAGGATCACTAGTTCAAAGCCAGGCTAATAAGCAACTCAGAAAGACCCTAAGCAACATAATGATATCCTGTCTCAAAATCTAAATAAAAAGTTCTGGGATGTGGCTCAGTGGTTAAGTGCCCCTGGGTTCAATCTCTGGTACCAAAACAAAAAACAAACAAAACAAAAAAGAAATCACACATACACGCAGAAAAAAAATTCAACAGACTCTATTCACATAAAAATGAATCCTGCCAAGCATGATGGCTAAGTTTGTAATCCTGAATACTCAGGAGGCTGAGGCAGGAGGATCACAAGTTTAAGAACAGCCCTGGCAACTTAGTGAGACTCTGTCTCAAAATTTAAAAAAGGGGTAGGGATGTAGCTCAGTGGTATAGTGTTCCTGGGCTCAATCCCAGCACCACTACAATAAGAACAAAAAAGTTAATCTTAAGCATTCTGAGAATAAATACTAAATGACAAACTGGAGGAAAAGGATCAAACAAATATGAAGGTTAGTTAATACCTTTAGCACATAAAGAATTAAGGATATTACAAAAAAAATAGTAAACATAAAATAATAAAAAATATTAACAAAGTACGGCACCAAATTAAAATAAGACTCTATTAAACTTGTTAATTTCATATAAATTACATACTACCTAATCCTGGTTGAGAGTAAAGGGAAAATGGAACATTCAGATACTATGATGAGAACGTAAACTGATATAATTTTTCTGAAAAGTATTTTGGCAATACTGCATCAAGAACTAAAACAGAATTCTGACCTAAAATTTATAAATCTCCATATCCAACCTAAGAAACAACCTTAAATTTAAGATTTTACTAAATGTCAAATGACAGGATGCATGTTATTAGACAAATTGTCCTATATCCACAGGTAGACTACTAAGCCCCCTTTAAAATATATAATTACAAAGGCTAAACAACATAACATCTTTATAGTGTAAAAAGTCACATAATATTAAGAGGAAAAAGCAGTATGAAAATTGTAGATAGACTTTTAAAAAATAGGAAGTATACTAAAGTGCTTTTGTTAAACTAATTATTGGTTACAGGGTAGAAATGAGATTACTTTTTCCCTCTTTTCTCTGATTTATATATATTTAAGCAATCATTTGTATTATTTTTAGCCTAGAAGTATATTTAGGACCTTTTAAAATAGTTACTACCCTAAGAGAGTTATTTCCAGTAATTGAAATAACTCATTTAAACAAAATGTTCTGCAACTACTGTTTTCTAGAAGTAATGACATTAATATTAATGTCAGTAATATTAAAGGAGCTCCAAAAATACAAATGCAATAGAGGTGTTAGTGTACTTTTTAGAAAGTACTAAAAACATCTGGTGGCAGAGTTCTTGCCTGGCATATAGGGTCCTAAGTTCAATCCCTAGTCTGACCAAAAAAAAAAAAAAAAAAGTATTAAAAGGAAATTGTATTTTTTTAATATTTATTTTTTAGTTTTAGGTGGACACAATATCTTTATTTTATTTTTATGTTGTGCTGAGGATTGATCCCAGTGCCTCATGCATGCTAGGCGAGCACTCTTATCACTGAGCCACAAACCTCAGCCCCAAAAGGAAACTGTTTTTAAATGCAAATTAGACAGCTAGGGATATAGTTTAGTGCTAAAGTACTTGCCCAGCATGAAGAGGCCCTGGGTTCAATTTCTAGTACTGCACAAATAAGTAAATATGTTAGAAGATTAAATTATGATATTTAAGTAAAAATTCTCATATGCTAGCTTTTTCTTCAAATACAGTATGCTGTTCTTTCTTCTTTTTTGTTTTTTGTACTGGAGGTTGAAACCAGGGCCTCACACATACTAGGCAAGCATTTTATCCCTGAGCTACATCCCCAACCCACATGTTTTACTTTCTGTCAAAACAACAATAAAGTAAACTCACTTTAAGATAAATTAATTAACAATATATTTGGAGAAGGTCTTACATTCTATTTCTGAATTACAATAAATTTCCTATAGCCAGCTACGTTGGTAGCCCACACCTGTAATCCCAGCAACTCAAAGGATGAGGCAGGAGGAGTATCTCAAGTTTGAAGTCAACCTCAGCAGCTCAGTGAAGCCCTAAGCAACTTAGCAAGATGCTGTGTCAAAATAAAAAATTAAAAAAGGGCTGGGATGTGACTCAGTGGTTAATCACCCCGGTTCAATCCATGATATTAAAAAAAAAAAAAAAAAAAAAAAAAAAAAACCTTAAATGAAGAACTTGTTCTAAAGGTGAATTTATATATCAATGACTAAATACTATTAAGTAAGTTTCTAAAACAGTTTAAAAATTGTACATTATAATTATTTGGGGAAAACATTATAGAATTTTTAAAAATCTTTTAAAAGACTATTTACTAAAGTCTTATCTACTGTTAGTAAAATAATTTTGTCCACTGTTATACTGCAATTGCCACATAGAATATTAACTTAATAATGATACCAAATGTAATTTAAAGGCACATAACAGAAGTAAAATTACTAATACAAAGAAGTAATTACATTTGGATGAATTCTCAAAACATGAACATTCAGCAGATTTCTCAAAGATAGTAAATATCTCCCCTATACAATGTAGAAAACAGTAGCAAGGGACTGGGGTAGTGGCTCAGCAGCAAAAGAGCACTTGCTTAGTAAGTGCGAGGCCCTGGGTTCAATCCTCAACGCCACATAGAAATAAATACACAAAATAAAGATATTGTGTCCTACTACAACTAAAAAATAAATATTAAAAGAAAGAAAAGAGTAGCAAGTCAAAGCCACCATTAAAAATATGGGATCTCAGCTGGGGTCGTAGCTCAGTGGTACAGCGCTTGCCTAGCACATGTGAGGCAAGGGGTTTGATCCTCAGCACCACATAAAAATAAATACAGGTATTGTGTCCATCAACAACTAAAAAAAAAAGTTAAAAAACAAATATGGATCTCTGCCCTCTAAATCTTAATCTATAGACCTATTATTATAAATTAATATTTAGTATAGTAAAAAAAATTCCCATAATCAAAAGACTAGGAACGTAAAGAGAAATGTAGAAAAAAAAAATCTGGCTGTAAACAATGACTCAAGCCTGTAACCCCAGCAACTTGGGAAGCTGAGGTAGAAGGATCCCAATTTGAGGCCAGCCTACACAACTTAGCAAGATCATAGAAATAAAACAATAGAAAAAGGATTGTGGATATAAATCAGTGATAGCGTGCCTCTGGGTTCAATCTCCATTAAAGTGGGGCAGGGGAGGGGGACCAATTTAAGCAAGATTTCTGTGGTAGAATCAATACAACTTGGTGACTATTACAATTGGGAGATGAGGAATCAGTTACAGGATGAATCCTAGGTTTCTAGCTTAAGCAACTAGGTATATGATAATCATGTCAAAGTGATCAGAAATGAAACAAGTTTTAATTGTTGAGAGAAAAGAATGATGAATTCACAATTTTAG